TCGGTAATAGATTACAGAAATTCAGGATCCCCTATAAAAAAGCAGGAGACCATCCTTGGAAAATATCGATGTAGAAGCAAAAGAACCTGATCCCTAAGCAATTCTCGTTGGTGGAGATAGTAGATTGGAATAACCTCTAGCTGCAGAAGGGCACTAGAGTCTTCCTTCTACTGTAGCACAAATTTAAAAATAATACTTCATTCATCTGATCATCTGAATAATAACTGACTAGGACATTTATCTTTATCACTCATCATCGTCATCGTCGTCGTCATCATTATCAATCATTAATCCTATGTATTGTTCAATCATAAAAACAAATAGTAAAACATGTAAGAATATTGATTAAGTGTCATGCAGTAACTGTAAATAGGATTATATTAATCTTCTTGTTAAAGATGTGTTTATATGACAAACACTTGTTTTGCCATATTATAATGAATTGCCTACGGGACCACCAGATGATAAGGTGCTGGATGACTTATGCTTGGACCCTAACTAAAAGTAAAAATTCAATTATGTATAATTCACTCATAATTGATTAATTTTATTTTAATTGGTAGTTATATTATTACACTATACTATGATTTAATTATTATTATCTATTAATTTTATTATTATGTTTATTATTATTTTCTTATTTTATTGCTATTATTTATTATTATTATTAGACTTACTACTACTCACTATATTATTAGTATTAACTTACTCTTATTACTTTTAAATATTATGTTAATATTATACCCTCTGCTACTTATTAATTCCCCATCTACTATTACTTTATTACTCCATTATTTCACCTAAAGGATTCCATTATCATCATGGCCCAACGTCGAGACAGTGAAGATAGATGTGAACCCCTGTCAGTATAGGTGGGGGGAGTGCAGTGTAGTGTAGAATGTAGTGACCCAGTGTTATGTAAACTAGAAGAGCAAACCTCCCTTAGAGTAGCTAGACCCACCATAAATTGAACTATTATATCGACCCTCCATTCTAACCTTCCACGTAACACCTAATTGTAAATGTCAAAATCTGTTTTGCGTAATCTCTAATCCCCTTCAGTCGCCTCACTTCTTTGTTATAGTACACAGGATCCGAATGGCACCGTAGTTTCCTGGTAGGCAAATCCTGCCACCGTCGGGACTCGAACCCCAGGACCTCCTGGTCAGAGGCACTGCAGTGACATCCATTGATGCCCTGAGCCACTTAAGCGGAACATTTATTCTCACTATCGCAGCACAGACATTCGACACTCAAAAACACAAATTGCAAAGAATCTGAAGAACTTAAGAAACTTAACTGTACAGCACCAACTAAACACTTTGACAACTACCCAACACCAAATCATGTAGAGACACGATTTACCTTCCATCACACACCATTTCGTAATGAAGGTTCGATAAGATATTAGGGTAAAATTTCCCCCACCTCTAACTTTTGACATCAGGTTCATGACCAATTACAAACCATTAAAATTATTTCAGAAGTGTGTTTTTTTACATTTTATGTGAATCGCCTCGCTGGCGAAACTGCCCAAGCTTTGCTTTTTATATGTATGTACTAAGTTACACACATTGCTCACCACCCCTCCCCACCGAAAGGTTCCTCTCATAACACCCTTCGTCCCCTCCACTGTGGATCTCGCCAGTGTGGTGCGAACTGCCGGTTTAAAAGTCTTCCCTAAGTTGTACCGTATACTAGACTTCAGCCTAATTTTTATTTTGGCAAAGAGTTTACAGTGCTCAAAAATCATTAATTCTAAGTATTCCAGTTATGGTTAGGATAGAGTATTTCTTTTGTCAGAATAATCTGAAATGGTTAAATCAATTGATAACATAGCGTTTTATTTCATTTATTTATAATTACAGACTGGATCAAGTAAAAAATTATAACAGTAATAATTTATAAGGATTATAATAATAATAAGGAAATTAAAAGTTATGAGTTTGAATAGAGATTCAACAATATCATCCATCATATCTATGAGTGTTTTACTTATCTTTTTCTTACATCTATTTTGTAAATTATTTAGTTCTAAAATTTTCATTTCTTCACCCAAACTATTGAAAACAATGTGTAGGATTAATATTTTATGTCATTCATTAGTGAAACATTAACTATCATATTCTAGTTTTAAATTGGATAATTATCTATAAAAGATTTATCTAAAAAGAATTTTCTTGTTGATTTGATTATTGTATCTCCGAAAAATAGTTCGGAGTTCATGTGTGATGTATTGAAGATATATTTGAGAATTTTGTTTTGTATATCTAGAATTGGTTTTATTGTTATGCCTTATGCATCACCCCATGTTATCACTCCGTAAGTAGCACAAAATAATGCAAAATTAACAGTTAATAGTTGTTTTTGATTCATTATAGTTTTTAACCTTGTAGAAAACATGAATTAAAAAACTCAATTCATTTGTTATTTTGTTTAAGTCATAGGACTACTTACGGTTACTATCAATAAATATTCCTAAATGTTTACTCAAGTAAACTCCATTTAAATTGGGATATGCACAGTGAACATTGTCTTGTGCTAAGCAATTTTATCATGTATTTTTAACTCATAATTATTCCATTTACATTCTTGGTAACTTCTGTTTAAAATGACAGTTTTTGAAACATCCAGGCCTAAATAGTTAGTATGTAGCCAGTTCGTTATAATACTAATATTTGTTTGTGACAATAATTTAATGATGTTCCAAGACTCCTTTTATAAATAGGCACACATCATCCGTAAATGAAGTAATTTCTTTCTCTGATAACATTTCAAAAAACTTGTTAATTTATAGTATAAAAAGTAAGAAGTCTAAAATGGTACCTAGAAGAAATCTCAGGTTTCTCAATTCATCATTTGTGTGGTTATTTATTCTAACTACTTGTCTCCTATTTGTAATATTTATTTATTTGTTTATTATATAGCATACAGATTCATATTTATTATTGTTATTAATAATAATTATTAGATATATTATTATTTAGATAATAAGTATTAATAATAATAATAATAATAATAATAATAATAATAATAATAATAATAATAATAATAATATTATTATTATCTGGATATAATCAAATACTAGCATTATAATCTTTATGTTCTATACATTTTTCATCTTTACACTTTGAAAAAAAACAAACCCTTTTTTTTATGAAGATATAGGCAAAAATTTAATCCTATCCATTATTTCTTTCTTGCTGTGGCGATGGTGTAACGGTTAGCGTACTGGACTGTTGTACCCAAGTTCGCGGGTTTAAACCCGATCGAAGCCGTGGATTTTTAAGGGCGAAAAAATCCTTCGTACGCCTTCCTTCGGAGGGAAAGTAAAGCCGGCTGTCCCATGTTAGTAGATTTACTTGCATGTAAAAGATCCTCAAGCCTAAATGACGCCTCTGAGCCAAATTCAAATCGCCTGTTTCTCGCCCAAGAAATACCTCCTTTCTCTGCAAGTTGGTGAAAGGAGCGTATCGAAATTTGCGTGGTCAGACGGAAGAGCAGGCCTAATGGTCTGAGTCTCGCCACGTAAAATAAGGCATTAATTCAATTCAATTCAATATTTTAACCAACTCTTCCCTGATTTTTATTTCTTAACGTGATTTTATACTTTTTGTTTATCACTGAATTAACAGTAGGTATTGTGTTTAGGGGGGGAAATTGCAACAAAACCATAAAGTGTTTCATTTGTTCAAACATGAATTTTATTATTTCCAGTGTCCCACGTTTCAAACAGCGTTTTACATTTGTGGTACCTGGGGCTGGAGACCTGTACAGTGTACTTGATACTCTGAAAGTTGCCGACACAGTTATGTTTCTTTTATCTGCTGCCTCTCGAAATGGTATTGATCCTGAAGGAGAAATAATATTGAATGCCTGTATGTCCCAGGGATTGCCTTCTCCAATATTTGCAGTTGCACATTCGAAAAGTAATCCATCTCTGGTAAGTTGACTTAACATGGAAATGTTAGATGAATGCAAAGTTTTTTTGTTTTATAATTGTAGGAATGATTCGGTTTACCACTAAGCATGTATGTAGGAGGCCCTTCTGCCTTTTTTTCGCAGCGTCTACATACTTGGGTAATAAAAGTATTGTAATGCTGCTGTGAGAATTGGCATTTTTTGTCAGAAAATTTTTTTGTCAGATCTTAAAATGGTAAAGGTGAATAACTTTATTTTGTATATATAGTAAATTGCTTCCTCTCTCATGTTGTCAACGCAGAATTCATGTTTTTGAATATTCAATACCAATCGACTGTTAAATATCTGTCTATTTGGTGAATATTTGCACCAAAATGGCTGAGAGGATTTTCATCAAAATCGATATTTCCCCTTTGATCTAGCCAAAACTAGGCCCTGCAATATTTTGATTTTTGGGGTACTTTACATAAAGCCTCAAAGTTTTTCAAAAATTGTTCAAATATTTTTTTATTTATCTTTCTCCTTGTATAGAGTAGATCTTTTAAAGACAGGTGCAGGTCTCATTGTTAAACAATCCAAAACTTCAAAAATTGAGAATGTTCAAAATTTTATTCATGTTTTTCTGGAACTACAATATTGAATACAGAAACGTTTTTCCTTAATCAGAAGTCTGTTCTACAATATTAAATCTTCAAATAAGTTCAAGTTGAATATTTTGAAAATACAAGTAGTTTTCCTGTAATTTTTGCTTGAAGTAAAGCAATTTATAGTTTTTTCTGCTCAAAAAGGACTTCAAATTTTTCTCTAATTTTTTCCTTGGATAGTGCAAAGAATGCTTAAAATTTTGTCAAAGGTGTCATTTTTATAAACTCTGAATTTTCAAAGATTGAAAAAAGTTAGAAATAACGTGAGAAAGTCCATGTATTGTGGTAGCACTATAAGTTCAACGATTGCTTCCATTTGTCCTCTTCTCTATTTAGTGGAAAATTTGAACTATGATTCATTGATACCATAAACACTGGAGGGTAAAGAAATTACAATTGGTTAAAAGAAGCATTTAGTTGATTGGAAGTGTCTAGTAAAACTTAAGAAAGACATTTAAAATGGTATTTTACACCACTCTGACAAAGCTGGCTCAACTTGGCCATTAAAATAATTCTACACTAGCATGGTCAATGCTGTAAACTGTTTTGAAAGTATTTTCATGTTACTCATTGTTACTTATGATATAATACGCTTTACTCTGGACTGTTTGTAGCGAGGAGATGCATATGATGGAACTTTGTACTCTCTGAACCCTCTGGGGGAAAAAAATCAACAGAAGTTAAAGTTTTAATTACACCTCAGAACAATTACATAAGAGAATGAAAAGCACTTTACTCAAAAACTAAAGCTTTTCACAGAATTTATGTCATCAATATTTTAATACTCCCAGTAGTCATACCCTTCTCCATCCACCTATGGAGAAAAACGGAGTGTAGAGAAAATTAATAAAAATGAACCCATCCTTATTAGCGCAGACCCCGTAGAAATATGAAAAGACAAGGATGGAAAAAGGGGGGGGGGAGCAAATGATACGTATGGTACTTTTTTGAGAAATAATTTTTGTGTTTTCTGTTACTAATTTAGCAGGCCAATGTTAAAATAAAATATTAACTATTCTTTTAAACTTCACATATATTTTAAAGAATATAATGAAAACTTTTTTCAACTTGTTTCAGTTAAATGATGTGAAAAGCCAGCTGCAGAAAGTAATTGACCGTTGGTTACCAGATAATAAAGTTATGTCTTTTGAAAAGAACGGAGCAGGATTGAATGCACTACGTCGTATTGGTTCCCAAAAGCAGCGCTCAGTTATCTTCAGAGACAGGAGACCACATTTGCTGGCTGAAAGTGTTACTTATGTACCTGATACGGAGGTAACAAAAAAATTCTTCATATTAAAGAACTGTTTGCCTCACTTGAATCCTTTTCCTTCTCCTTGCTAGAGACCTCACCCAAAGATGACTCTGGGAATGTAATAATTAATCAAATTATTATACTTTGATTGTGGAGGACTATTTCCTTTCTCACATTATGGATAACCACAAGATATCTGTTATCATCACGGAATTCACTTGAGTCATTCCTATCATGTTTGCCACATGTATCTTGTTTTAATAACAAATCATATTTTTAATCTTTATTTTTAATTTATCTTACTTTTAATAACAAAACTGACAACCAAGATGACAGTTGGCTGTTAATCTAACAAGTTGTTTATTTGGTTTGCCCTCTAAACTAATTGTTTGGCTCAGGGTTCTCCAAACTATGCTTCACAGGCCACATCTGACCATCGGCAGTATTGTACGTGGCCCTCCAACCCGTATATTCTGATTCAATTTGTGACACAGGCTGTAATGTTGCTGTAGTATTGCAAGATATGAGAATCTGGTTTTCTGTTACACATTTTTACTTTCTCATGCTTAAGAAGAGATCGTCATGAAATGCTGCGTGAATTTTCAGCACAAAAATTCTTATTTCAGGGCCCTGGTAGCAAAAAAGTGGTAAATCCAGTTCCATAATTTGAGCCGGAATCCCTGTTTTGTGGGACCTTGATACTGAAAAATTGATTGATGGCAAGACCTCGGTCCATCTGTCTGTTGTGAACAACACTATTGGCTGAACCATTCCGCGGATTTTTTCCAAAATTTATATTCTTTGATCGATTTGGCTGGTGTCACCATCCCTTGAATTTGAAACTGATGTTTTAATTTTGGAGGGTATTTTTCATGAGGCCCCCGGGACGTATTCAAAATTTTCAAAAAATCGCAAAATTGATTTTGCTTAAAGTCTGTTGTTGGAGAGTCTGAAGGAAGTTTAAGAGAAGGTACAGATCTTATGTTGGCTAAAAACGCCAATTTTTCAAAAATTGCAAAAATTAAAAAAAATATCAGTCTTCATACAACGAATATATTAAAGATGGAGATCCTTTAGTAAAATCTGTTCCTTAAAGATAAATTTTGATGTAAAGTAATGTTAAATTTTTCAAAAATTCAAGTAGTTTTGCTTAAAATGAAGACAATTGTAAGTTAGAGCGTCGCGGTCGGAGTCAGTATTTACTAGGCTGTCCAGGTGATGCCGCGTCCATGGCGAAGGTGCCGATGTTTCGGTTGCCATTCTGCGACCTTCCTCAGGGCATAATGCGCATTATATACGTATAGGAGAAAGTAAAAAATAAAATTAAATAAATAATTAAAAAAGATGTAAAAGACAGGAAACACTCTTCGAATCAAGTTGTAAATTGCAGAAAGAGAATGCATTGTAAATAAAGGCTTTTCAATAGGACCAACGAAAAATTACGTAATAGGCAGGAAAGCGTAAAATGTGAGAATGTAAAAACTGAGTTATACTGTATGCAGAATATTACAATACCTTAGTGTTTAATAATTTCTATTATATATTTTTTAATCTGTTTGTTTGTCAATGCTAACAGTATCATATTATTTATTAACTTTTAATTATTTTACTTTCTTGCAATTGCTATTTTTCGCACCAAATGTTTTACAATTTCAAATGAGTTTTATAAAAATAATTTGAAGAGAAATTGTGTTGTAAATAGTATTATTACATAACCATTACTAATGGTGAGAAAGTATGTGCTGTTGTAATACCACTAGTTTGGTTTACAAACCAGACACACCACAAATATTATACCATTGTAAATTGTGCATAAAGAATATTCAAATGCCTGTGAGTTTTACCATGGGTAAATATAGTTTTTTGTTTTTTCCTCCCTTATTTTGACTTCACTCTATTAAATTCAAATGTTGGCAAAACTGACTATGTTGCAGTGTGTCAGACATTCATAAGTTACTATGTGCTGAAAATGGTTCTCAGCTCCTGCTTCCATTTTGTTTGGAAATCTTTTCAGAATTCTATATGCAGTTCAAAAATGAATTTTTCAGAACCAATTTTCATGTGACAATGAGCATGACCCATTAGCAAATAATTGACAACAGAGAGTACATATACAAAACAGCATTACAGCGAGATTACATCATAGGAAAAGTTGCTGGTATTGCTCATTGCTATGAAACTGCAGGCATACTACTTAAAATGGCAAGCACAAGGAAGATTGTTTCAATGTATAGGATTATGATATTCCCTAGTGTGTTATAATAACATTTTCTCCTTAATTTTTCACTGTACTTCTTTCATGGACAGCACATATATCTGCACTTTACAGACTGGAACAAATGTCCTTAACAAGAAACAATTTTTGTAGAATTTCAAATGGAAAGGAAAACTTGATAATTGTTTCTATTCCCATAGGGTCCACTTGGAACATTGAAGGTGTCTGGATATGTGAGAGGAATGCCGTTATCAGTTAACTCCCTAGTGCACATACCAGGTTGGGGTGACTTCCAAATGTCTCAAATTACTGCACCTGAGGACCCATTTCCACTTAGTAAGTCTGGTAGGAGTTGTGATAAGATTATGGAAGGGGAAGAAGAAAAACTTTTGGAGAGAGTTGACCCTAACCGACAGGTCAGTTTGTTTTTTGTATTGTATCATGATGACCAAAAAATAGGAGAGGGAGATAGAAAATAAAGTTTTGAAAATGATTTATAAATAAGCAAAAAAAAAAAAAAAGTGAGCTGAAATTTTCACACAATTTTTTTTTCAGTTAGTTGTAACTGTTTTAATTCTATCAGGAATAATTTTAGTTGTATTTGTTATACAAATCATGATTCATGTTTTATAACTCAATGCTAATTTTTGCGGTTCTATATTTGCATTTGCTCTGTAGAGTCATCAAACTATTTTATGAATAATTCTGAACATTTACAGGCATATAATTTCCATATAAAATTGTATATCTTTTTAGGAATCGCTTGTTAGCGAAAACATACCCGATCCAATGGAAGGAGAGCAAACATGGCCAACTGAAGAAGAATTGAAAGAAGCAGAAGAGGAGCAGAAGAAAAAAAAGAAGGTCAAGCGGATTCCTAAGGGAATGTCTGAGTACCAAGCAGCATGGATTCCTGACAGTGATGCAGGTGTGGATATTGAAAGATACTATTTGAAATCACATTTAAGCTCTTGAAGAGTTCTGTCATATACTCTGGTCTTGATAGGGACAGCCAGCTACTTGAATTAATAGTTTTCTGTGGTTTCTCCAATCATTACCAAGTGAATGCTGGAGCAGTAGCCTGGCAATCTGGCCACCCTGTGTGATCTTTCCTTCATCTTTATTCCCTTTTCTTCCCTTACTCATTTACATGCACTACACAACAACACGTGACAGGTAGCTTAGGGCTCGTCCTTGCTGGGCTGGTGGGGGTCAACATTCAGCAACATCCATTACCATTGCAAAACTGAGTTTCGTCTTTAAAAACTTTTCTCTACTTTCATGTACAAACAAATTTCTCAAAATTAATGTTGCAGAAAATGTAGCATCTGTTCTTTTGAGATCATTTTGGTTAGTTAAGTTTTTTTTTCCTGTGATATACATTGAAGATATTGTTGAATAAAAACATACGATTTTTTCACATTTTCTATATTTTCCTGTCGCTTAATAGTTAAATTGATATGAGACTTTCAGTTCATCGTAGAAGAGCAAAACTTCTTGTCATATGGAAATTTGAGGGAGGGGGAGGAAATTGAAGAACTTTGTGATAATCTTTTGAGCTCTTTTATAAAATTGAACCATTTTGAGTTGATTTACTCTTGAAAATTTTTGAAATTTCTAGAAACCCACTGCTAGGACTTTCAAGTTGTCTTGATAATGTTAGAACCTTGAAAGGTACAGGTGCAGAGAGCTACTGTTGATACACATGTGTCGGTACACATGCTCTCTGTTGATTTTAGTGATGTGGCTATTAGGACTTAGAAGGTGCTGGCGCTGTTTGCGCAGAGGGCTACTCGCACTGTGAAGTTGATTTCTATCAAGAGCAGTGCTATGACATAAAAGGCACTGACTCTTCTTATGTAGAGGGTTACATGTCTATGCACAGGCTGCTAAAATTAACTCTACTGAGGACTGAGCAGTGAGTGGATATTTGGAAACTGTTGCTGCAAGTGACACTCATATTTGCGGGTACTGTCACAATAAAGTCGCAATTTTGCAGGCTGTCCTAACTGTATACTGAAATACTGTAAGCGCGATAACCTTAGGGCCTAACTTGGTTGGCCATGTGTTTGATTCTGTATGTCTCAACATCTTCCAAAGACTGAAACATCCTACGAAATTGACAACAGGATGATTGAACACTTGAAAGACTCATCTGAGGTACTATCTCTAACTTGTATAAGCAGAGTATTTCTGAAATTAATTAAAATCATCAAAGGTGAATTACCAAAAACTCTTCCCATGTCGAAGCAAAACTGAAGAAGATAGGAGGCGGTACGACACACATGTCTAATACAGTAGGATTTTAAAAGCTTTAAGAAATACATTAAAATACTCAACAAAATAGTTGACAAACTTGCATCAGATATAGCCATTTGTAAAACAAAGCAGACAACCTTTGAAAAATGCTGAGACGTGAACTTCTGTAATTGATATTTTAGCACACCAGGAAGTTAAGGAAAGGAAGGCTGTTTAATTCAAAGAATTAGATATTTGGTCACTATTGATAACTGTCATCACATTATAAAAAATTAAGCTGAAATAGAGTGGGCAGACAGAAAACTTAAAGGCCCATTCACAATGCAAACATAAACATGGCGTTAACATAAAAGTTAGGACTTCGTCCATAAACAGGCTCATTCACAATGCGTTTGCATAAGCATGACATGTAAGACGTTCACTTAAAAGCTTGCAAGCTTGGACCTTCTGTGCTTATGTTTACGGAAGACATAAGAAATTAATCAATCACAGAACGGTAACTCAAAATTAAAAATCGATATTGGAGCGAAGTCGATAGAAGAACTAACGCCATATGGAACATATAGTCGATATCTTGAAATCGATTCTCACATCCAACGAGAAAGTCTCACAGCCAATAGTAACTTATTTTGCTTACGTTTATGTTAGTCATTGTGAATACTTGTATCGCTTATGTTAAGTTTATATCTGTGCGCTATGCTTATGTTTACATTGGCATTGTGAATGGCCCTTAACAGTGGCCACAGTACATTGTTACTTCTCTTGTAATCCCACACCTTCCAATTTCCTTGAAGGTTAAAGTTTAGGCAAAGGGCATGGGACACAAATGCTGTGTATGTTGATTTTCATTTTAAATACTGAAAATTCTAAAATTGTATTCTTAGAGTTTTCCTGAAAACAGTGTCTTGAAAGGACTCTGTTCTTGCTATTATCCTTTCAGGGGGGTATGATGCATACACAAGCTTTTGAATACATCACCAGGGTTACTGAGACGTATTTTGTGAAGTTATCGATAGCTATCAGTTCAATGTATTTTACCTTCTCGTATTCCAATTTGCATGTTTTTTCACATTGCTGGTGAATGAAAGATATTGTGGTAAGTGACATAAAATTTTCTGTGTTAATACTATAGTGGGGGGATTGGCAAAATTAAATATCCAAATGTAAATTTAGGTACTAAAACCAGAAGTTTGTCTTAAGAAAGTGAGTAGTTTGCTTTAACGGAAAAGAAACACAGTTACAAAATTTGCCATGAAGACCCTCTTTTTGTAATGTACCCTGCTTTGAAGTGCACTATTCTCAGATATGGTTTGTTTATTTTTTAGGTTAATGTATATTATTTGTGATCAAATTCAATAAACTGAATGCATGAATATACTTTTCGCTAAATGTCCGAATTTTTTTAGACTTTTTTCTTAAACAGTTCAGAAGTTTTGATGTTTTAGGCAAGTGGCCTTATAAATATGATATAAGTTTGATTTCATGAAAACCAGTTAACTTAAAACAAAATTTAAATTTGAATCTCATACGCTTCTTTTCCTGAAGAGTGTTTTTCAAGGGATGGTAATTATAACGAGAAGTATGGTTGATATGGTAGAAGCTGTCTTCCATAGCCCAGTTGCCATCTTCTGTTGTCCCAATCACCTTCTCTGAGACTTCTGATTCAGGCCTTTGCTAGTTTGTAATTCCCTCATCACTTTATTTCCTGTCTTATCACATACATTCATATCATAAAACAATTTTGTACTGCTCTAATGTATGTGTTTCGTACTCCTCTTTCATTACTTTCCACAATTTGTGTTATGTCTTTTTTAAATCTATAAAAATATTAAATTGGCAAGTATTTTAAGATAAACTAAACAATTTAAATCCTCTACCTCCTTTCCCAAAGTCTACCAATGAAATAGGACAAGCAAAATCATTTCTTACAATTGCAGTACTTGAGACAGCTAAAGAAGCGTCTCCAAAACCTAAAACTCCAATTTGTCACTTCACGAATCCCATCCAACGTAATACTATACTAATCCTCATTTCCTTCAAACGCCAAATCAGATGCCAATGACATATACCACATTCCTGTATTAAAAACGAAACTTAATAAACCTATGGAAGCTGTCCACAATGCTCTCAACCTGTATCATAGGCAAAAGTTTCAACACTTCATCTCTAAATTAGTTGAAAATTCATACAACCTTTGGAAAGCTTGCCATTATATCACCTAACCAATCCAAACAAGTTTAGAACTGAATAAAAAATTACGTATACGACACCGGAAAAGCTAAACACACCCTCAGCACACTTCAAATCTGCATCATCACAAGTTTCACTCCCCACCGAGAAAACATCAGTCGAGAAATTCCTGAATCACCCCTTATATCACTGCACTATTACGTATAGATTATATCTCTCCAACCAATGTAAAACAAATAATCAAGAAAATCAAAAACAAATCTTCCCCTGGAATAGATACCATATGTAACCTTGCTCTAAATCATCTTCCACCACACGCTCTTGCATATCTAACTGCTATATTCAACAGTTGTATAAGACTCAGGTTCCTCCCCTCGTGCTCGTAAAAATCAATAGTAGTACCTATTTTAAAATCCCAAAACTACCATCAAGTTATAGACCAATTAGTGTACCACCAGCATTTGCAAAAATGCTCAGAAAACTTACCTTAATCAGATTAAACACTTACCTTGATAAAATAAATGCAATTCTGCCACAATAATTTGGATTTCGTCCTCTTCACTCATCAACCCTATATCTATTAAGAGTTGTTGAAGAAACGGCTCTTGCTTTTCAGTATAAAAAATTCTGCATAGCACTCTTCTTAGACTTCGCACAGGCGTTTGGTAAAGTCTGGCCCAATGGATTATTATTTAAGTTACATAAACTAGAACTCCCGGAATATCTCTTCCAAATAATCAAATGCTTTTTGGAATATAGATTCTTCTCGGTAAAAATGAACAATACACTATCTTACCTACCCCAATTCCTGCTGGTGTTCTTCAAGGGTCCCCACTCTCTCCAACCCTCTTTGGTATCTTCATGGCAGATATCCCTGAATTATCAAACTGTGCTAAGGCTCTTTATGTTGATTATACAGCAATCTTAATATCCAGCAACTTAATCTCTGAAGCAATGAATGACCTGCAACAAGACTTCAAAAACTTTTCTGAATGGATAAAAAAAATGGGGATTACAGCTAAACCCCTCAAAATGCGAAATAAAAATTTTAACCTTACAAAGAACAAATATCCTTTCCCCTTTAAAAATAAATAATTACCCGATTACATGTGTCCCTTCAAATAAATAAACCAAGTACGTAGGCGTCTTCCTGAATACTCATCTCACATGGAAACCACATATTACTCATAGGCTGAATGAATATTCTGGTGCACTACTCATATTATATCCCCTTATTAACAAAAAGCCATCTCTAAAAATTGAAAATTCTCTGTTTCTTTTCAAATTAGTCCTGAAATCCTCAATAACTTACGCCACCCCAATATGGGTAGGTGCTGCTAGTTCTGTTATGAAACCTTACAAACTTGACAAAATAAAATACTTCATACAATTACCAATGCCCCGTGGTATATAATCAATTGACAACTACATAGAGAACTAGACATAGACCCAATTACAAATTACATTTCCTTACTGTCCAAATTCTTTTCTTACCTCCAAAGTGCCCCTTCCACCAGCCACTTTAACCTCGGGAAAACCAGCATTGCTCCTACAAGAATTAAATCCTGTCTCTCAAACGATCTTTTCCGTAAGCTAGAGAAATTTTTGTCCCACTTCACTCTCTATATCTTGTTTACTTTCTTGTAACATTTTATTTCACAAAAATAACAAAAATCATCCAACAAAATCCATAGAGCATGACCTCTGTCTCTCTTACTTGAGTTAATTGTTTGCAAAGCTCTATTGAAGAGTGGATATATTGTTTCCCTTTGTTTAGGTACAGCATGACCATACAAAAATAGTGTGCAAATAAATATGTGTGCTAGCATTTCTTATACATCATTAGGTACATTTTTATGTAATTCAATAAGTACTTCTGAACCCAAGATACTACCATTTTTCATTTCTCCAACTACTTTTTGTAATTCTATAACACTAATTTCATAAAACTCTTACTCTTTGACCTCATCTATCCCCTCTTCCAAAAGTTGATCATCTTTAAAATTATATCCAGTTTCTCTCAGTAATTCCTGGCTCATTGGTCCACTTGTACCCTCTTTCTAGTTAGCTCTTAAGGTTTTCCCAGTTTCCACTCTTCCTTAGATACAGTATTTCCCAAATATGTCTCCAGCGTGTTCACAAGTTCTCTCCCACATCTCGTTCTTTCCTTTAGCAACTAATTGGTTCACTTTGCTATTAATCCTAGCAAATTCTCTCCGGACTTGTAGATCAAGCGTATCACCACTTTGATATGCTTGTTTCTTTTCCTTGATTTTGTTTTCCACCTTCCAGTTCCACCACTGGGAATATTGTTTTGGGGATTCACTTTCCTCTTCACCTAGGGTCCCATGTGTAATTTCTAGGATTACTTTAATAAATCATACTTCGTTATACATAGTAGGGATAGAAGAGTAGCATGTACAGAGTTTTTTGCGGAGTCTTACTTCATATAATAACCTAACAGGGTTCTCCATAAATCTGTAAAGGTTATATATATGCTGTTGAATACCTTATCTTCCTGTTAATCATTCTGATCATCCTTTATCCATTAGCAGTATTGAAAATACATCTTTGTCCAGAGCAAATAATGATCTGTACCACCCCGCTTCTGCACCTCGCTGTAATTGCACACTTTCCACCTTTATGTTTGTATTTTGTTGGCAGATACTAAGATCTATTATTGAACTAAGGTGTCCATTGGGCTGAGTCCATGCAAATTTATGCATCTATTTTGTGCTCATAAAAGCTATTTAGCACCCAAAGATGATTCTGTTGACAGAAGTGTGTAAGCCTTTCCTGTTGTCATTCACCACATATTCTCAGAACTTACCTTCCATATCATTTTCTTTACGCCCTCTCCTAACATTTAGATCAACTAATAGAGATTATTACACATACAGATTATTTCATGCCTCATAATGAATTAGGACTTGCCCCTTGGTGGTGGTGGTGGAAGTGGGTTTTGGAGCTCCTCAAATGTAGAATGTGTCATGAATGTAGAATAAGCAGTTTTATTAATCAATATTTACAGAGGAAATTTCGGAGAGTGAAGATGATGAATATTTTGATGCTGATGCTGGTGCATCAATGGATGCAAAATCAGAAAGCGAGTCTGAAGAGAGCATGCAAGAGCAAGATGAAGAAGAGTATGAAACAGTTACTATGTCTGAATTTGGTCGTGATGCTGAGAGATATGATGAGAAGATGGATTTAACAGAGGAAGAAGAAGCTCGTCAGAAATTGAAAGGTATGTTACTTCAACAAAAATACTTTTTTCAGGTAAATTGATAAAGTTGATAACTGGGATTTTTGATGAAAACTTTCTTTTTGTAGATGCTCATACTGACAAGATCTTCCCAGATGAAATTGATACACCACTAGAAACTCCTGCAAGAGTTCGTTTCCAAAAATATAGAGGATTGCAGTCATTTCGCACATCTCCATGGGATCCAAAAGAAAATTTACCAATAGATTATGCCAAAATTTTTCAATTTGAGAATTTTAATAGAACGCGTAAAAGAGTGTTTAAAAACCTAGAAGAGGAAGAGGAAGGTGTTGTGGTAGGTATGATGACAAGGGAGAGTGTCTGTCATTCCTAGTGCTTCATCAGTTTATGTTGTCGGTCATAAAAATGTCATAGTAATACTAATATGGACTCATATCCAATATACGTTTGATGTATATGTTACAGCTAATATCTGTACAAGCTAATTTGTGAATGGACACTTAATTCACTTATTAGCTAGAGAGTTTTGATGAAGCTGTATAAATGATAATGGACAGAACATTTCTGGCAATATCTGGCTCATGTTGACCTTAGCCAAAGAAAACTTGCTAATGAAAAATATTTTGGGTTTCAAATGTATTGGAAATTCCGTATTTACCTGAATATAAAGGCAGCTCCACACATGCAGCTTTTGCAAATCCTGAGCAACGTCTCAGCAAATCCCAAGTAGTGTGGACAGGTTGCTTGCGATTCACTGAGTGCCGAACAATCAGTATTCGCCCTACCCACCACATGTCGGTCTTTAGGACACATCAAAAGCAGTGAACAGTTACCCAATATATCAGCTGTTCGGAATTGGGTGAACTGTAGCTCACTGGTTATTAAACGCAGAATGTATGGAGCAATCTTAAGACAACCCCCTAATTTTAAAGAAGCCTCCTAAAAATTTTTAAATTTAAATGTATTTAAATTAATCTAATAATAATTAATAATATAATAATTAAATTAATAATTTAAATAAAAATGTATTAATTTTTTAATGAATTCTTACTATTAAGTCAAAATTAAATTGCAAATTTTCCTAATTACTAGAAAATTGCCTTGTTGGTGAGAGTATTAACACTTATTGCTGAATATAATTTCTTGTTCCTTAAAATCATCGTAATCATGGATTTTGTCTCCACCTTCATCATCTTTACATGTTTTATCTTTTTAGTTCCCCTTCCATGATGCAATGTGCTGTAACATGGGTGAATTAAATAAAACTAAGTGGTATTATTTAAACAAAAACATTTATTCGTGAACAATTATACACTAAAATCTACTGACACTAAAAACTACTTGGTCTATTTACAGATATATTACACTTAATTATTTTTCTTTACACACGACTCCGTTCTTTTGATTATTTATTTACACAGTTCACTTCTTACACACAATTTATTTACACTGTTTTCTTCTACAGTATCACCCACTACGATGCACTGTCCACAGTCCACTGCACTGACCCCGATTCCCTGCGCGCACCAGGGTCCACTGCACTGCTGTTTACTGCAATGCACACTTCACAGCTCAGCTTCCACTGCAGATTTCAAACCGCTCACTGCTGTATCCCCACTGCACCACTGTTCACTGCAATGCACACTTTACTGCACAGCTTCCACTTCGGACATACTGACGGACTGGGCTGCTTATTCACTGATTACATACACTGACTTACTCTGACAAACTAACTTACACTGACTAACTTCTTACTGACTGACTTCTCTGCTATTCACTGACTCGCGGCCGCAGCGCATTTATACCTGGCTGGCGCTCGTCCCGATACACCCGGCACATTCTTCATGTTTCCCCGCGACTCGCGAATAGTCCGGAACCATCCAGTTTGGGGGGAAGGGAAGTGGTTCCATCAGATGATGCAATCCATGCGCAGCGAATCCGGCAGGTGATGCAATATTCGTTACAATACTCTGACTTTTTAGACCTGACTGAAAGTTTTGTGCATTGTATTTGCATTGTATCATCTGACGCAACCCAAGATCTTTTCCTTCTATTAACATATTTTCTGTGTCCTGCATATGGTGATGCCCTCTGTTTCTTTAACAGTTCAAAATGCAGATTTGTTCTCACCAACTATCGAACTGAGATTTTGCGCTGCCTCAAACCCACTTCATGTAACAAAATCTTGGCTTTCATTTTCATATTACGTTTCATTTAATACAATGTCATTCGTTGGAAATTCTCTTTATCAGTCCATTCAAAAATATCGATCTGAATTGCTCGTCAAATTTGCAGTTTATGGCAAGTATACAACCGCAAACTTATTATAGATACGTGCAATATTTTTACCATCTGTACCATGCAGTTTATTGTTACATCATCATTTACAAGTTTCGTGATCAGGAATGACGATTTAAAAACTTAATCTCTAACAAACTACACTTAATCTGCGAATATAAAACTACCCCGTATTTTTCAACTGAGATATTTAGGGGAAAAAAACTCTTCTCATATTTGGGTAAATATGATGTGTTACACCTGTTTAACACTCAGGTTGTTTTATTTCACTTGTTTAGTGTAAATCACAAAGAACAAAGGCCAGATTCTTGTCACTGCAACATTGAAATGAGTAATAAAGCATCAACTGAGGTATAGTCAGGTTATGTAGACTTATGAATTATGTTATTTCATGATAATCTAGCACCTCGATAGTGAGAGGCAAACAGACTCACGATAATCTAGCATCTTGATGGTGAGAGGCAAAGGGACTTGAGAAAATCAAGCATCTTGGTAGTGGAAGGCAAAGGGACTCACGTTGATCAAACTCCCCGATACTGAGAGGCAAAGGGACCTAACAGTAATAATTTACCCTAGCGTTTAAGGCAAGGAGACCTACGGTGATCAAGTTCCTCAACGTGGAAGGCAAGGGGGCTCACAGAAAATGAAATATCTTCTTTCTGTGCCTTGACCAACTCTTCTATCTTGTGTTTGTCACTAATTTTCTCACTCACTGTACACACACCTTATTCCTAGATCTTACAGAAGTCATTTTCATAAATTATTCATAATAAATTAATAATTAATTTATAGTTAATCATGTATCTTGGTAAATCCTATAATTACTAGGAAGATTGTTATGGTTTATCGTTTTTGAAATAATGGAATTTTTTTATTAATGGTGAAAGTTTATTAGTGTTATTGTAAGAAAGTTGGAATGTTCTTTGATTTTCACTATTTTTTTCAGCCTGGGTGGTATGTTACCCTTCACCTTATTAATGTTCCAAGCGCACTTGTGGAATCAAGATCTTCAGACCATCCATTAATTGTGTATGGAATGTTACCTCATGAGCAGAAAATGTCTGTTGTCAACATTTTATTAAAGAGACCAACTATGATTTCATCAGAACAAGAGCCCATCAAGTCCAAAGAGCAACTAATCTTCCATTGTGGTTATCGTCGTTTCAAAGCTTGTCCAATATTCAGTCAACATACAAACGGAACAAAACACAAGGTAATATTTAGTTTGTGTACTAATCAGCGGTGAGTCAAAGCACTTTTGCAAGGTTGTGGTCAGGCATGCCCACTGGGCAAATCTAATTTTTGTAAAGCACAGTGTCCTTCCTTTCATTTCAAGAAGATGGACCAGCAACGTAGGCATTTCTGGAGATAACTATGCAAAAGTGCCACACCTCACCTCCTACTGAGGTATGGCTTGTGAAAGAAATGTCTTAAAAATATAAATATAACCAAATTATAACCAATTCCAAATTTATTGGGGAAAAAAATGATGGCGCAGCCATTATTGATAGTGCTAGTAATTTTGATATTGATAGTGCTAAAATAGCCCTGATAAAACAAAATTTTGGAGAATATGATATGGAAAATGTAAATATAGTTGATATTAGGAAAGTCGAACCAAAAAAGACACTGGGACACAAGGATTCTGTGCGATTTCATGCATGGGATGTGTGGGGTGGGAGGGGGGGGTGCGTGCAAATTTGTACAAGATTGAAAATTATTAAATGTTTTTTGTTAATAGTACTTAAATAAAAATGATGGAGTTTGTGTGCATTATAAGGAAAAGGTGCTTATTCAGAATGTTGCATTTAGCATGGGCAGACTGAAAGTGATTCATATTGAGATAGAAATAAGTGAAACTATTACATTTTTTTTCATCCTTGTATAGATGACATGAGAAGGATATACACGTTTTTGGGAATGATTTGTATGATCAAACAAATCTTGGGTACCACAATATATAGGAGGATGTTAAGATAGATATAAAACACTACGTAAGGGATGGGGAGTACCTAAATGTTATGTCTGAATTTGGCTTTGTCACCTACAGGTGATACTGAAAATTCTGCCACCTATATAGATCACATATTTAGTAAATTACAGCCAAACAGTTACATACTAAAGTCATAAACTATAAGAAACTAGATAGATATATTGGGGTAGCAAACTGGAATACGGTATACCATGAACCTAACATTAATAAACTCATTTGACTATTGTTAAATCAGGGGTAAACAAATCCAAAGAAGATTGAAAAAGTAAATGTAAAAATAAAGCTAGAAAACTCTGGATTACTAAAGGACTCAAAATCTTACAACTAAAAGTAATTCGTTTAAACAAATGAAACAAAAATCCTTACATTAACACTATGAAACAACAATATAACAACAATCTAAGTAGTCTAGTCAAACTAACAAAAGACCATTGTTATTTACAACTTCTACTTCAAGTAAATGTTATCTCAAAACCTCTGGGACTTCATAAATTCTAAAAATAAGGAAAAAAAAGATTTAACATTTTATTTATACTTAATACTGAAAAGTACTTTATATTGAAAATACAGTTTTGACTAATTTATTTTAAATAGTTTGCGTAAATAGACAAAAATAATGGAAAAAAGTACTTACAGTATCACTCATTAAAATATTCTCCGAGGGAAATTTGTTTTGTCTTTTTGGGAAAGTTACTTTCCCCATCATTTATACTTTTCTGAACATATACTTTTAACTTCGCAAGACATTTCACTGCCTCTGTTGAAGATACTGCTTCAATCTTTTCTTCTACTTTTTTCTCCTCCTCCTCTTCATTATTTTCTTGTGATATAGTCAAAGATTCTACAATGTCACTCTCTGTAAGGCAGTAATTTGTTTCAGTCCCAGTATCAATATTTCATAATCATGAAATGTAACAGTTAATGGAAGTTCTATCTCCTTCACAATTTGTTCCCATACATCACTGATTTTCACAAGCCTCAATCCATGACGAAGCACTTGGAAATTCAAAATTCCTGACTTTCTCCAACAATTGGCAATTGTTGTTGCTTTCACATTCCACCAACCCCCTGCTGACATTTGTATCCCTTACAGGATGCTGATTTTGGTTGCAACTTTCAATCTAAGGTTGATTAGATCCCAGTGAACCAGTAATTAACAAAAGTAGAAGTTTGCATTATGAATAAATTCCCTGGTCTAGTGGCTGCAGTACAGAAGTGCTGTAGGGAGGGAGGAACTCAATATGGATATTTTCCAACCTGCAGTTTACTTTTTGAGCAGAGCATCTATCAACTACAGGATTTTTCGTTTGTTTTCCAATATATTTGTCCAGCTCAAGATGCCAGTCTGCAAACAGTTCTTTGATCGCCCATGGTTTCTTATTGGCTGTATATTTTGCTGGAAGAGATGCCACACTTTTGTAACATGTAAGCTTTATGCTATGTTCTACTACCATAGGCTTCAATTTTTCAGTATTACAGCATTACAACAAAATATGCTGTTAATCTTTCTTATGACTTTGCTCCCTTGTATGTAACATATTGTTTTATTGAACGACGTGTGATAAAAAAAGGCTGTTTCATCTGCATTGAAAATATCATTAGGATCAAATTTTCCAATTACATTTTTCAGATGATGTTTCTTCCACTCTCGAGCAGTGTTCATGTCAGCATATTTAGCTTCCCCAACAAAGCCTTCCAAGTTATGCCATATTGCTCGTGAAAACGGAACAGCCAGCCAGTACATACCTGAAAATTCTTAACATTTAATAGTGTTGCAAATTATTTTGCTTTTTCTTGTATCATTGGTCCAGAAACGGGTACATCCACTACACCTAACTTCCTTAAACCATGTGTCTACTGCCTCTTCCAATTTACGAAAATCCCCTTAACGAATCTTCTTCTGGTTGGGGCATATCGCTGATTGTTCATACATTTTTAGAATTTTTCCTTTGCTTTTCAAAATTGTTGAAACTGAAGTTGCCTTTGTATCATATGCATCTGCTTCATCGACCTGCTTCATTCCACTCTCTATACCATTCTAACCAAATGGGGTCGTAATTTTTATGAATTCCACTAATAACCTCCACAAAACACACTTAGAAAATGAACCACCACAACAATTATTTGCAATCAGAGCATTTGCTACAATTACCAAGACATGAAATGAATTTCTGGAATATTGTAATATTCAATATTGGAAAAGTTGGGATTCCCCATCACATGATCCAAAAATAACAACTATTACTTCTATCTGCTGTGATCATGGTGAACTAGGTCTTGGTCTTAATGAATTCAATTGACATGTAGAATAGGTCCACCACTTCACACCAAAAATGAAACAGCAGTCCAAGCAGGAAGTGGAAGCTGGTGGTGCCGCACCAAAGACAAAGAAGACTATTGCATCTGTCAGAAAGGTCATGGCCAGGGTGTTTTGGGATGCGATAGGAATCCCGTTAATTGATTATTTATTTATTGATTTACACAAATGATAACAGAAGACAGACAGACGCAATCAAGATATTTAATAAGTTTGAATTAATTTACAGTGAGGTAAAAGATAATGATTTATAATCTAAAATCACAGAAATATCAAAACCAGATTCACACTCACCAGCCATCGAGTCCGAGATTCCGCGGGGCATTGTCAAATCAGCATCATGTAACAATCTCAGTATTCATTTGATGTAATGCCATTAGTTTCAGATTCTCTCTTTACCGGCTCATTCAAAAATATTGATCTCAATTGCACAGCAAAGTATCTGTGGATGCCGAGAATATAACCTCGGATATAATTACCTATTGTATATATGCACGAGTCGATCTGGTGGCTGAGATCGCTAAGGCAGTAGTGCCGTAGCGATGTCGTACCGAAAGATCGCGGGTTCGAGTCCCACCTTGGGCATGGTTGTCCCCCCATCATCATCATTATCATCATCATCCATCTCTCATTGTCACCTTTCTGAATAACATTCAGAATTGTAACTCAAGGATTTATCCTCGCCTTAAGGTGAAAAACCTTCGACAGTCGACCAAAGTGAAGTGGAACGACTCAAGTGGTCCAATGTGGCCAATCAAGTTAATAATAATAATATATGCATGATACTTTTACCAACTTCACTGTTTATTGTTATGCTTACATTTACGAGTTTTGTGACCTAAAATGACAATATAAAACCTTAAACCTTAACGCACCTTAATCTGTGAATATCTGTTGACCCCACATTTTTAAACTGAGATATTTATGAAAAACCTTGTCTTATATTCGGGTAAATACAGTATAATGTGTATAAAGTTTGGAACAATTACATATAGTCCAGAATTTTTAGTCAAAATAAACTTCAAAATTTTAGGCAAGAATCTGAGATCATCAAAGCTCTTAGCAGCTAAGATGTTTTTGTCCAAAGACATATTTACCAGAATTATCAAAGAATGCAACTTCGCTGCAACAATGTTAGATTTCTACAATACACTGATTTATTTCATCTTGATTATAGACAATCACCTAAAACTATGAGAAATGGATCTGTTTCATTACAATTAATTAATATGTGTCTAATTAGTATGTTGATAGTTATTTGAATTCGCATATAGTAGTGTGTCGATCTTCAATTCATTTGCCAAACTACTCATACATGACTATCATACTGTTTACTTCTCAGTTCTAATAATTTGTATACTGTGTTTCTTCGTGCCCTACTTTGTAAAATTATAAACTTTGAATTTTACAGTAAGTAAAGGGAAGAGTCCCTTATTAATAAACATATAAATAAATAAAGATATATTATGATGTTATAATACACAATTATTTTGTTGCAGTATGAACGGTACTTTCAACCAGATGCTACAGTTATTGCGACAGTTTTTGCTCCAATCGTATTTCCCCCTTGCCCAACTCTTGCCTTTAAGCAGAACAGTGATGGATCTCAGGTAAAACACATTTATTTGGAAATTATTTCTATCCACCAGGAATCTGTACAATTTGAAAGCATGTTTTTAGAATATTGCAATTTGTGTATAGTAAAGCTTGAAATATTGACCTACTAGACATAAAATAGTAAAACTTTTGTGTCGTTGAATTGTGAATTTTATCGTATTTTCTTCTCGTTTCCTTTCTTTTTCTTCTTTTACTTTTTACTTTCCCATATATGTAAATATATACGTCTGTCCATCTGTCTGTCTGTGAACTACTAGCACCAAAACCATACGTAGGATTTTTTTCCAAATTGAAAAAAACTGTGTTGATCTGACTCCAGTCGAATCTTTGAGATTTGATTAAAAAAATATTTCAATTTGGGACTAATTTACATCAAGGCCTCCGGATATTTTCAAAATTTACTTAAAAATAACTCAATTTTTTCCCTTAAATATCTTGTAGCAATTATGTAAAATACTCTGAGTGATGGCATAGGTCCGATTTTCATGTTCAACTCAGAATTTTCGAAAATTTCACAATTTTCCGGCGTTTTCCTACAACTACAAAATTGAAGATAGAGATTTTTCCTTTAAATAAAATTTCTCCATAGTGAGGTCTTTTATTAAGATTATCTACATTTTTTTTTTTTAATTTTAGTAGTTTTCACGCAATATTGCGAGAAACGTTCAATTTAAAAAAATTACCAACAAGATTTTCTCAAAAAAAGACTTCAATTTTGTCTTTTAAACTTTTAGAAGGGATAATGCTAAATGTACTCTTTAAGATGACAGATGCCATATTGCTCTATTCTTTTTCAGTGTTTTTCAAAAATTACAAAAATGGATTTTTTTTTTGATGTCTCTCACTTTGTTGCAATTTATTCATATTATTATATTTATGAGTACATGTTCTTTGTCATATAAACAATAATGTCATGTATTGTTTCCTGAAAACTCAACCATTTTCTGAGAAAGCAAGTTTTTAGAAATGCTCAAATGCAATTTTCTCAGAAACTGCTCCAAATTTTGTCTTCAAGCTTTTCAAAGGGATAGTGCTAGTTGCACTCTTTAATATGATGTAAAGTTCATTTTGTTTTCGTTTGTTTGTTTTTGTAAAATTTCACAAATGAATTTGGGGGGGGGGGGGGAGAACTCTCACGCTGTTAATATGCACATTTCATCCAATTTGTAAACTCGATTGTATTAGTGAGTAAATGTGCGTTAAATGACTTCTAATAAAATTGTTTGAAAACAAATATTTTCTGTGAAAAAAGAGCTTCAAATTTCAAATTTACAGTAGTGCTTTAATGCCAGTTTTTTAAATACTGCTCCGCATTTTTCGAAGAAAATTGCCATTTAAGACAAGCAAGTACAGACGAGGTGCTTTTACAGTATTCTTCATCAGTAAGATATACTACCATGTTTGTTTGGTGCTGCAATGCTGTTTGTGAATGTTGTGTTGTTTTGTGTTTTTTGAGAGCTTTGAATTTCCTTACTTGCCATGTCTTGGAGGCAGCATGCTCATTTGAAGCTAGCTCAGCAGTCACACTATCAAATTCTTTTCCTTTTTTGTGTTTTTTCTTTTAGGTTTTTATTTTCTATTCTTTTCTTTTTACCAGATTTTAAATTTTATATTTCTTTGTAATGTGTATCTTTGTTTTATCGTGAACATTCTCAGGATCCTGCCTTTATCATGTATTTAGTAAATAAATAAATAAATAACTTAAAAACGAATTTTGCATGCATTATGGAAATGCCCTCATAGGGAACCTGCTGAGTGGTTAGTCACTGTTAAAGAGTTTAGAAACTACTGAAGTATTCTCTCGTTTGTATCTTCACAGTAAAGTTGTTTTTACAGTCATTATCTTCAACTTCTATATCCAATAAAACAGAAAAAGTTATTTATAAATTGTATAATGTGTTTTGCAGGATTTGGTTGGTGTTGGATCTGTGTTGTCTGTGAACCCAGACCGAATAGTAGCGAAAAGAGTGGTTCTTAGTGGTTATCCTTTCAAAGTTCACAAGAGGACAAGTGTAATTCGCTTCATGTTCTTCAACAGGGAAGACATTGAGTGGTTTAAACCAGTTGAATTGAAGACAAAACATGGTCGCCGAGGACATATTAAGGAACCTTTAGGTATACTATTAAATACGATGGTTATTATCTTTGAAATCTGTATCTTTCCCTGTCTGCAATATTAGCTTTAAATTACTGGATTACAAAATTTAAAATTTGTTTCTCATGAGTGAATATTGTTCTGGTGTGTTACATATTACATTGTATCATCTTTTTTCTCTGAAGATGAAGGAAAGTTTATTTTGCGTATCTTCTCCACAGGTACTCATGGACACATGAAATGTGTGTTTGATGGACAACTGAAATCTCAAGATACTATTTTAATGTGCCTGTACAAGAGAGTTTTTCCAAAATGGACCTATGAACTGTGTTTGGACTCACCACCAGCCCTTTTTAATCATACAAATCATGATGATTTTATGGAATAAAAATGAAATTAAATTATATAAAATTAATGTATTATTAGTTTGTTGTATCTTCAAATATTCTGAAGATGAAGAATAATAAAAGATAATATTATTTTGTTGTTTCTCAAAAGATAGTTTGACCTTTCTGCAATATTGGATCTCATTATGCCCATTGTTGGGCCTTGTCCATATTATTCTCTCCTCCCTTCCTTATCCTTTTTCTCATCTCTCTCACATCCTTCTTTCCTCTCTTCTTTTTTTTATTCACAGGGCCTGGTATTAAAGCATCACATAACAGTAGCAAAAGCATCAATATGATTCTTGTTTTTTAAAGGAGAATGAAAACTCATTCTTAATAATGAAATATCACCTCATCCACTTACAAATGACAAATATTTGCAAGTAATCCTTAATGAATAATTTCTTCCAGAGTAAAAAGAATGAATTTATTATTGAGTAGACCTGGTAATACTTCGCTCTTGCAATTATTACACTTCACACTGTGACGGTTGTCACAAAGATAACTAAATGGGAATAATAAACTTACGTAATTATAAATATGGGTCAATGCAACAATGGGGGTATAGAAAAGAAACAGATGAGCTTTATTTTGGAAACAATGTAAGGAAAGGTGGCAACAGAATTGGTCATGGGGAAAATGCATAGTATGTTAACAAATAATGCAGTGAAATGTGAGCGAATTCTGAGCTGTTCAAGAGCACTTGGGTTATCGTAATTGCATTAAATGATCAACGCATGTCTATGTGCGACAGACATACCAACATTCCCATTGCACTATGTGTATATTCGTCACATAAGAGCAAGAAGTAAGTTGACATAATTTTATCGCAATTGGATGAACGTGCAATACAGCAGTGCATAAAATACAAGCAAACAAATATTGATTTTTAGTTTCCCACATACATATGTATATACGGAGTAAAATATGTAGCATAGGGAAAGTAATGTAATGCTGCTGGGAATCGATTTCAACAGAAATACACATTTTAAGATCCCCTGATTCTGAAAAAGTGGTTCCTTTCAAAATGCCTGTTAGTGAACACTACTAGCGCCTAAACCATGCATAGGATTTTTTCCAAATTGAAGAAACCTGTCCATCTGGCTCGAGTTGAGCTTAGAGATTTTGAAAAACATTCTTTAAAATTGGGGAATACTTCACATGAAGCCCTCTGGACATTTTAAAAACATTCTCAAAACAGCTCCAAATCTTTTCTTTAAATTTCTGGTAAGAATGGAGTAGCATACACTACTCCAAAAGTGGCATAGGTCAGATTATCAGGTATAACTGCGAAGTTTGGAAAATTGATGTAAGTGAAGTATGAATTTTTTCAGTGTCTTCCTACAGCTGCAAAGTTTAAGATTTTTTCTTCAAATAAAATTTGTTGCCCACAATTAGTTCTTTTATTAAGGTAATTTACGTTTTTTGAAACGTTTTGTAGTTTTCCCACAATATTGCCATAAATGTAATGTGCAATAAAAAAAAATACAAAACCAGCTGCAACATATTTTAAGAAACTTTTAAAAGAGGTAGTGCTAAATGCACTTTATAAGAAAACATAAATGCTGTATTGTTGAATTTTTTGTTGTTTTTTAATTATAAAAATGTTATTTCTTTGACTTTTCCTTCCTGTTGTTTATATTTATATTAGTGGTAATTTGTTTACATTACTATATTTATGAGAACATGTGCTTTAAATAATGTCATAAAGTTTCTCAACAGTTTTCTGTGACAGCTCAAAATTCCCCATTTTCGGAAACGCCATTTTCCAAAATGGGACCAAATTTTTCGAACGAATATTGGTAATTGCACTCTTTTAATACGACGTAAAGTTCATTTAATGTGGATATTTTTTCAAAAATTACACAAATGAAATTTTTTTGAAAGATCTCTCACGCCGTTAATATGCACATTTTCAGCAATTTGTAAACACTATTCTATTTGTGAGTTTCACAATTGAATGTTAATGAAGTTTTTCGAAAACTTCGAAATTTCGAATTTACAATAGCGATTGAACACCATTTCTTAAAAACCGTTCCTAATCATTTAACGAAAATTGCCATTTAAGGCGAAGTAATACTGTTCTTTAATAATCTTAAAATAATAATTCCGCACTACAATTAGGAAACCGAAATATTGAGAAAATTTAAAAGAAATGTACCGTGGGCGGCGATAGATGGCAGTTGGCAAGAGGATGTGGCAAGTCCGATTAGCTAGCCGAGGCCAAATGAAATAGGAAACTAATACGCGAAAGTCTGTGCCATTCTACAGCACCACTAATTTACTTTCTCACTACCGCGGTTGAGAGAAAGTTCCGTAATGCCGCACAAAGAAACTACGAATTTTCGGCAGAAAAATTTATTAAGCCCTGGCAACGAAAAAGTGAATAAATCCAGATGCTAAATTTAGAAACAAAATCCTCTAATACGTGGTTGGAGTAGCCATAATCTACCTTTTGTGATTCCTTGATACTGTAAAATCGATTGACGGCAAAACGTCTGAACAACGCTACCGGTTAAACCGTTCAGCCGATTTTCTCCAAAATTGATATTTTACCCAATCGATCTGCCTGATATTGGGGCCCCTTTAATTTGAAACTGATATTTAAATTTTAGGAGGTATTTTACATGAAGCTCGTGGGACATTAAAAAATTGCTCCATCGATTTTCATTAAGGCTAAATGTCCCGACACTAGTACAATTTGTAGCCACCACGTGGCAGTACCAAAATAAGTAAACATTACTTTACCGATAACGTCTGAACCAATCGTTCGATTTTCGATCTGTAAACGGCATTTGACGCCTTTTTAAAATAGAATTTACGCTACGATGACCTTTTTCCAAAAATCTAACAAAAACGCGAATTTGAAATTAGTTCGCAAACTTCCGAGAACAAATTTAAAAATGTGGCCTTATAGCGCGATGGCGACATGCTTCCTGAATCCAACGCTGTGATATTCATGCAAATCGGACGAATAGGAGTGTCGTAAAGTGAAATTTACGAAAACACCTCGCCCCCCCCCACTTCCTTTTCTGCGCCGTTGCGTCACCCACCCGCCCGTTATGGACCCTCTATCAGCGCGGTGGCACGGCCAGGCCCGGCGGTTAAAGCGGTGCTACGTCTAAGATCTTCCACTTGATCGACTTGCTGGGTCGATCCCCAACGTGATCGACTTGCTGGGTCGATCCCTCACTTGATCGACATGCTGGGTCGATCTCTCACTTGATCAAATTGCAGGGTCGATCCCCCACTTGATAGACTTGCTGGGTCGATCTCCCACTTGATCGACTTGCTAGGTCGATCCCCCACTTGATCGACTTGCTGGGTCGATCCCCCACTTGATCGACTTGCTGGGTCGATCCCTCACTTTATCGATTTGCGGGGTCGATCCCCCACTTGATCGACATGCTGAGACGATCCCCCACTCGATCGACTTGCTGGGTCGATCCTCCACTTCATCCACTTGCTGGATCGATCCCCCACTTGATCGACTTGCTGGGTCGATCTTCCACTTGATCGACTTGCTGAATCGATCCCCCACTTGATCGACTTGCTGGGTCGATCCCTCACTTGATCGACATGCTGGGTCGATCTCTCACTTGATCAACTTGCAGGGTCGATCCTTCACTTGATAGACTTGCAGGGGCCGATCTTCCACTTGATCGACTTGCTAGGTCGATCCCCCACTTGATCGGCTTGCTGGGTCGATCACTAACAAGATCGAATTGCTGGGTCGATCCCCCACTTGATGGACATGCTGGGTCGATCTCCCATTTGATCGACTTGCTAGGTCGATCCCCCACTTGATCGACTTGCTGGGTCGATCACCAATCAATACAACTGAGTAAAACATTAATTAAATGTTTTAAATAAAATTACGAGATGCCATCTTTCTGTCCCTAATTTTAGAATGTACAAATCCAAATGATAAGAAAAGTTATTCAATTCCAGCTGATGATGCGATCGCAGTGTGCAATTGATTTGTCAGTGCTATTGTTTCGAAATTTAAAATTGCAACAATGTTTCAAAGAAAGTCACCATATTAATGGTTTGAGGTATTGTGCAGTTTCTTCAGAGAATATATTATTTGAAATGTGATGATTTTGCCCTGTATTTTATGATGGCAGGCATAGCAGCAGGATGATACGCATTTACAAATTCCAGGGATTTATCAATATAATTTTGTTCTGAACTGTCACCACAAAATCGATGATCTAATATGTTTCATAAAAAATGTGCTGATGTCATAGCCATTTCAAATCGCTATTTGACGAAGGTTACATTAGCTTCTATGTCATCCTCTAAAAATTCTTTGAGCTAATGCACCCAAATGTTCGCTGTTTTTTCTATTGTGCAATAATCCTTTTGCACTTTGTCAAGTCTGACAGATGCGGGGCAACCGTACGTTAAAATGTCTGATAAACCAAGCTCTTCTAACCATACTAATTTTTCTCTCATTTTCATGTTAAAAGCGTTGTCAGTGATTAAACTCTTAACAAAACCACCATACTTTTTGCAACTTTTGATTGATTTAGTCACTACATAAAAAAATAGTCTTCTGTCTGACTTTTATCTTCTGTATTAATCGTATCACTGAGATACACTTTTTCTTCGATTATATCTGTCACAGTAGTATATAAGATCGGTTCATTGTGTATATTACGCCAACCGTCTTCAGCCATACAACTTCACTTTTTATATTTTGTTTTTCTTTTCAAATTTTGATTTCATGAACTTTATTAAGTAATTAGTTTTCAATTTTTTGTTGTGTTGGAAGCGTGTATTCAGGATATAACATTTCAATTATCTTTTTAAATTCCGGATGCTCGACTTCTTTAAATACAGTATTCGTAGTGTAAATATATTTGGTTACTTGAATATCAAATCTTTTCTTATCATCAGCAGAAGTGCGCGTAACAAATTACTCCAGTGTAGATTGCTTAGCAGATAGTTCACATTGTTAGTTTGCCATATTAAATTCTGATATTGAAAAACCTACAAAAGCATGTAATTTTTAGTAAAGAAAATAAGATTTACGTGGAATTAATTTTATCAACTGTTTGAGGAAAATAAATCTCTCACTGTTGTACATATTCGATTCAACCAAACAAATACTATACATAGGCTACTTACTTGAACTCAGAGTATGTGTTGGGCTGGAATGACACGTTCCAAATCTCCCTTCAACGCAAATCTCACGAGCAGAAGCAGTAGAAACACATTTTTACTTTCCCGTATACATACGTGTATACGCATTAGTATACATAGTATAAGTAAAGTTATGTAATGATGCGCGAAAAAACGGCGGATTTTTGGCAGACAAATATTCATTGCTGGGCCGTGATGACAAAAAAGGGGATCAATGCAGATACTAAATTAAAAAAAAAAATTTAATACGGTGTTGCCAGAATCCCTGTTTTGTGGGTCCTTGATACCGAAAACCCAATTGCAACCCCAGCGGCAAAACGTCTGTCCATTCGTCTGTAAACACCACTAGCACCTAAACCACACTTATGATTGGTTTCCAAAATGGACATTCCTTAGACGATCTGGCTCCACTCGAGGCCCCGCGATTTTGTAAAACTTCCTTCAAAACTTGGAGGTACTTTACATGAAGCCTCCGGGTATTTTTAAAATGTTCTCACAAATGGCTTCGAAGTAAATTTCTTGTAACAATAGAGTAAAATACAACATGAAAGTGGCATTGGTCAGATTTTAACGGTTACCTCCAAATTTTCGAAAACCGCAGAAGTTTGAATTTTTTCGGCGTCTTCCTACAACTTAAAAATTGAAGATGGAGATTTAATTCCTTCCAATTAAATTTGTTCTCCATAGTTCTTTCATTAAGGCAATGTGCATTTTTTGACAATTTTAGTAGTTTTCGCGCAATATTGCAATATGTGCAATTTTCAAAAATAACAAAATCAAGATTTTCTCCATTTTTTTGTTTTAAATTTTGGTAGGGATAGTGCTAAATGTACTCAATGAGATGACATGAACAGCAGTTTGCTCTACTCTTTTGTTTAAAAAAATTTACAAGCTTTTTAATAATTTTCTTAAAACAATGAAACTCTTATTATTACAGTGCGGGTTTTATAACTCTTCCTCCCTATGCCTACTTCACGGTGGCATCATGTCATTGTATTTCACGTCTTTTTCAGCCGTGCTGCTAGATGTCTCGATCGCGACTGTATACCAGCAATGCGATCGGTCGCGATCATGCGACATCTGGTGACACGAACGAGAAAGATGCAAAATACAGTGACATAATGCAACTGAGAAGTAGGGCCTTGGGGGGCAGAGCTATAAAAACCGCACTATATATTAAACTCTTGAACAAATCCATGATACGATGACAAGATATTGGTGACTGATGATTTGAAAGCAAACTCTCTCGTTTGATCTGGTACTGAACAAATGTTCAACATTCGGAATGAACGCGAGCAACTCATTTGTGGATTTGTATGTTGGATTAAGGCTTTTTACCACTTTTGAATACTTGGTTAATCAGTTTGAATCGCGTACCTGAGAAGTGCCAATTGTATAAAATAGCGAATTGTGTAAACTTAAAAAATTGCTGGAAAGACTTGATTGAAAACATGCGCGCTTTTTATTTTACTTGAAAGTATCATCCATGCTAAAACTAAGAAAATTAGGCCTAGAGAACTTACATTGAAGCAACGTAAAAAAAAACAATTTGGAATTAAAATTTCGTATGTTGGCTAATAACGTAGTGAAATTCTGACGTGAGAGTGGCGAGCGCGAAGAAAGCGAATGGTAGAGAGACCATTTGTGACCGAGTTATGCACTTTCTTTACGTCGTATACGTTGCTACACATTTAATCCGTAGGTTCCCGATTTGAGGTCAAAACAAATATGAGCGGATATTGGTGTATAATTTTCTGAAACTACCGCTCAAATCCGCATTCGTCCTGCGTGTTCTTGGACGTGTTCAAACGAACAAAAATGTGTTGGCAAGTAGAGGCAAAATGAACCCACTCGCATATACTCGCGGTATAAACGTTCTTAAAATTCTCAAGAATGTCATGCTTCGTACAGTTGATTTTTTGAAACTTTGATAGATAGTAGTGCTCTGATTGTTTTTGTTTTTTAAGCCGTAATTTGCACCCTGTTTATCATCTGTCAAATGACCACTGTTGAATAGTGCACTGGATAAATTTGCTAGTAGGTATATGTAACATCTGCAAATGCCATTGGTTTAGCAAAGTAGTAAAGTCGTAATTATATCTCGCTCTTAATGTGTAATGTGAAGTAATTTTTAATGTTTAGGCCAGTTGTATTAGGTTTAAAGGTGATATTGAAAATGTATTTTTGTTTCAGATCATTTTTATCAAAATGCCACTAGCTCACCGAGAAGTTTTGCAGTTGGGCCTGCTTTTTTTATGTGTTCCATTACAGTATTTGCTTTCTGGGCACCTCACTAATCGGTCACAAGCAATTCTTCATGTTGTGAATGATTTCAGACATTTTCGTGATAATTGGTTGCACACTGAACCATGGAAAAACCGTTTTGTCCAATTAGTTTCATGGGTTTTGAGAGGTATCTTGATATTTATTATGAAAACCAAAAATTCTTTGTTTGTTTTTTAAAAAAATAAAATTTGTAGCTATTTATAGTGTTGAGCTAGAGAATTGTCATCAAACTAATTTCTTTATTGTACCTATTAGAAATTTCTGAATATAACATGTAAAATTTTGGTCCTTGTTAATTCTATTCATCCCATTGTTTACTATATCTGAATAATTATGACAACTGTCTTGGGGTCATGTGTTTCATGTATAATTGGCCAGTCATACAAGGGTGAATTTAAAATCTGTCAGAACAAATATGATAAAAAAAATCTTGGTATTATTGAAACGTAATATGGTGAAAATGCCTCAGTTTCCACTTTTTTTATCCTAATTGACATACTCTTTTTTGTCTTATGTCATTTTTGTCTCTGTGAACAGTTCTTTTAGCATTGCCATTCTCCTTAACTCCAGAGTTTTTCCATTGCCCACTTTGGCAAAACCTGGTCTGGAAGCTGGATAAACGCTCAGCAAGGGATAGATTCAGCTTGTTGACTGTGTTTTAGTTCAGTGAATATCATACTTTTAAAAAATCTCAATTCGTTTTTACGGAATATAATTCCATTGAGGTGTATTGTTGCCTTGAATGAACTTCACCTGGTTGTAAACCAAAGAACATCTTGTCAAAAGGTTCTATAACCTCTTTAGAAGTTCAAAAATCTGTGTTGTGGATATGGCTGACATTCTTGTAGATCTTGTTCTTTTTAACAATGAGTTATGTTCGCATCCATTCATCCAAACTGCTATATTAATCTAGGGAAATGTGTGAAGCTCTCTGCAAATTTTCAAATATTCAAATGACAGTCTTTCCCATTGCCTGTAGTTACGAAATCACCCCTGACCATGTTCCGAACACTGCACTAGGTAAAGAGGAGCGACTGGTGCCACCAATCTCTCTGCCTCTGGCTTGCAGGATTTGTAGCAAAGGGAGCGGGGAGAGAGGAGGGGTTCGATTTGAGAATGTAGAGAAAACTTCTCAGGGAATGAATTGAAATAAAAGCGCAGGGGTGTTGGGGATGTCTGGGAACAAATCGTAGAAGTTAGAGTAATTTACATAGGTTGGGACAAATGCTCTGATTAGTCGCTTCTAGGGAGATGTGCTATTTCACAAAAATCCCAGGAACGCCACACAGGGCTATTAAATCTTTCAAATACTGAAGCAGATGAACAAAGTTTGAAAGACAGTAGAAATTTCCCCCATCTCCACTGAAAGCTCAATTATTCCCAAAAGTCTATCAAAATCAAACAATAAGGAAGAAAATATCCAAAATGCTGCTTTTGATGTGAATGTTTTTTTCCATAAACATGGAAAGGATAAGGATAAATAGACCTGGTGCAGAGGGAATCATTATGTAATCAATCAAATATGAAAATGAAAAATGTCTTTGCAGGTTTTTTAATTTTATACATAAATGCTGGAAGTATGAATTTATACCGCAAGCTTGGAGTAAATTGATAGTTACACCTTTTTTTAAAAAGGTGACCAATGGAATGGTGTCAAGTATTGAGGTATAAGACTGCCCAATGCTGGGTATAAATTGTATGTTAAAATTTTGTTCAAAAAACTAAGTAACATCTCAGAAATGTTTCTTGTAGGAGAACAAAATTGTTTTAAATTAAATAGATCATGTACAGGCAGTGTTTTTTCAATTAATCAGCTTGTAATGAAACAAGGAATTTACTATACCTATGTTTAGATTTTCTAGATCTTGAGGAAGCATTTGAGCAGGTAAACTGGAGAAAAATGTCGAAAATTCTAGAAGAATGTGGCATACTGCAACACTTGACTAAGGCAATACAGAGCATATATCTTAATTCTATCAGAATACATGCACCAAATTGGGTAAAATCAGCATAGGGCATCGAGTCAGGGAAGTCAGTCTTTTTTTTTTTAATTACAGAAATGGTATAATTATTCAATGGCAATTAAATCAACATAAAATGTTACACGTTTTGTTATTTGCTGTTACCTGTTAATAGTGGCCTTCTCTCTTTAGTTCAGTTTTATAGATGAATGTCAATTGTTGGGCTTTTCTGTAAACATACTTCAGTTGAATACTTTTCAATAATGTCTATTTAAATGAGCCATTAAAAGTATTTGGAAATGGATGGACTTTAACAAAGAGCAGACTTTGCCATAAAATTGTTTTTTATTCTTGAGAATATATTGTGAAAATGGATATTGCTGTTAATTAAAACTGTACATCCCCACAGAAATTCATGGTGTATATTTTAGTTTTCTCAAATGCATTCATTACTGTATTTTTGTGTTGATTAGGCTTTGATCAATTCTGTAATGCACTTATTTTGTGTTTCTCTCTTCAGGTTTTGTTCGCCCTTCAAATCCCATTGAAGGCGTGCGAGTTAATGGTCCAGAAACGTCTTTAGCAATAGAAGTCCTTCAGTACAGAGAACGAGCTGGGTTTTTCGGTTCTTCTCAAGAAGTTCGGTCTGAAAGGCCAAAACATTTACGTTTCAGAGTTGGTCAAGTAGTACGTCATCGTATAGAGGGATTTCGAGCTGTGATTGTAGGCTGGGACTTGCATGCAAAGGTAAGATAGCAATGCCATAAGTAAGTTTTTGCTGAGAATATTGTTTGTGCTTCAACATGTAGGTTTAAGATTTATTTTTCCAAATATATTACTGTATTCAACATTTTCTTTTCACTAGGCCCCAGAATCCTGGCTCAATTTAATGTATGGTGAAAGTAGAGTGAGTATTCATTTCATGGTTTGTATTCTTGTTTAAATCATTCACTGATGTTGAAAAATGAAATAAATTGGTCTGTGTTTAAAAATGTAAGTAAATTGGTTTGATGTTCAACACCATTGATCAAAGAAATATCAAATACTGTTTTGTCATTTCATTTCTTTGACAAAAGTTTTCAATAAGGCTACATAATTATGTGGCAAAATTCATGAGAACTGTAATTCGGTACTGTAATAATTATTAATTGGCAAATGCACAGAGATCAAAGCTGTTTTTATCATGATTTGCTTTTTGTGGTTTATTAAGATTTTTTGTTTATTTTGATTTAAGCTGTTAATAAGTTTGATAAAAGCTGAAGTGTGTGTGTGGTGTGAAGAAAGAAATATTTCATTTAATGCCAGATTCTTTGTCAATAGGTTTCGTCAATAAAACTCTTAGCAGGTTTTCTCTAGGATCTCACTTTTCCTCTGCGTATCATTTGAAGGCTAGAATTAAAAAAGGATGTAAATGGCATTTTCATACTTTCGAGAAAAATTCGTTTTTACTCCTATATATGTTAAGTCGCAATCACAGCACATACAACTCCTGCCATTTATAATCACCCCACAACACTATCAAGAAAAGCTTCTGGACTTCGTGTCTTTCTCATGTAGATAAGTACAGAACGTTCAAAAGTCTGTCCTCTCCACCATCCTTTATGAGGAAGCGGCAACACCACTTAATCAGCATGACAGCATTCGAATGTTACTCAGAAGTGCACTTACTGCAAGCAGGCAGTAGTTGAAATGAGAATGCGTAATCATATTCTTCATATCCAACTGACATATTCAGTACTAGTTGTTTGTATTTTTGGTAGGACATGTGTTTTGAGCAAATAATTAGGACACAGGTGACGTGAAACAACTAGGCTTCTAAAACCATGGCGTAACTAAAACTTCCCAGTGGTCATTTAATTCCTTCAAAACCATTGACAAATTAAATTACTCAATATCATTGTATGTAATGTCCTTATCCCAAGAAACTATAAAAAGAGTTTTCGATAATAAAAGTAAAAGGGTAACACTTTGTGTTCAAAATTTTGGTAAACCTTTTCAACACATGATGTAATAAGATAATTATGAAATTAAAAAAAAATATACTCTTTATTTCAAATGCTTTTTATTTTAGTGTCGGTATTTATGCATATCCAAACCAAGAACTTTTCATGTGTATTCAACTAAAATGGTTAGTTTTACAACAAAACTTTACAGGAACTTTTCTGTAGCAAATTTAAACTACTTCAGTTTTGTATATGATGTAATTTTCTGTAGGATTTTTGTTAAGGAGATATGTGCAAATAACATGGAAAAAGCCTCTTCAAACTCCCCCACCCCCCACACTTCAGGATTTTTAGTTTGTCATTCAGTAAGTACCTTCTAACAATCATGCCAAGTTTCAAAACTGGAATTTTTTCCCTTTAATCTTCATCTTTTGGTGTAATTTCACTGGACTATTTGTTGCTGGAGGGTTACGGACCTGGGCGAAAGCGCCATTGCTGATTCAGCCTGCAATGGTGCCGTTTCCTTTTAACGGTGGGTGGAGTTGGGATACAGCTACTATGGAAAGGCTTTTTGAATACTGTACATATGGAGAAAATTATGTTGTATAAAGAAAGTTATGTAATGAAAATTGATTTTGAGATTTCGACAGAAATACGTGTTGTGAGGTCCCCTGATACCGAAAAAGGGTTCGTTTGCTTTTCAAACCGTCTGTGTGCATGCCTGCCTGCTGTGTGTCCATCTGATGTATGTGAACAACACCAATGCCTATACAACGTATAGGATTTCTTTCCAAACTGAATAAACTCTTGAGGATCTGGCGTGAGTAAAAGCTCAGCAGTTTTGAAAAACATTAATTTTTACTTACAACCTTGGGACATTTTGAAAATTTTCTCAAAAATGACTACAAATTTTTTCTTTAAATTACTTGTAAGAATAGAGTGAAATACACTTAAGATGGCACAGGTCTAATTTTCACTGTTAACTAAATTTTTGAAAATTGCAAAAAATTGAAATTTTTTCAGCAACTTCCTACTATTACAAAATTGAATATCGAGAATTTTCCTTTAAATGAAATTTGTTCACCATAATTCGTCTTTCATTAAGATCATGCACATTTTTTGAAAATGTTAGTAGTTTTCGTAAAATATTGCATGCAATTTATGCAATAATAAAAAATAGCAAAAACACTATTTTCTCAAAAATGGTTCAAAATTTGTTCTTTAAACTTTAGGCAAGGATAGTTCTAAACATACTCTGACATGACACAAACATCAATTTGCTCTATTCTCTTGTTTTTTCAAAATTCACAAAAATGTAATTTTGTTTACTGATCTCTAATGTCGTTAATATTTATATTAGTGGTGATTTGTTCACATAATTGCATTAATGAGTATATGTGCTTTAAATGATGTCTTATAAAGTTTTCACACAAACAAAATGTGTTCTGTGAAAATGAGCTCAAAATTCTGCATTTTCAGAAATGCAAAAATACCATTTTCTCAAAAACTGTTAAAAAAGGTTTTCTTTAAACTTTTCAGAGGGATAGCGCTAACTGCGTTGTTGTCAAAATTATTTTTGCTCTATCCCTTTGTTTTTAAAAAAATTACACAACAGTAATTTTTTTGAAATATATTTCAAGTTGTTAAATCGAACATTTCCAAGCACAATTTATCAGCATTATTGCATTTTTGAGTGAAAGTGCTTCAAATGAAGCGCTTTGAAAGAACAAAAGATTCCTACGAAAAATTCTCAAATTTTACATTTACACTTGAGCTTAATTAATTTTTTCTTAAAAATGATTCCAAATTATTTAAACAAAAAGGGATTTCACTCTTCTTCAATATTTTAAAGGTAATATTTTGAATCTTCCATTAGAAAACTGAAAAATTGAGAAAACTTCAAATAACTGTATTTTAGGTGTCGATGGGTGGCAGCTGACAAGAGGTTGGGGTAAGACCATAAAGCTAACCCTCTCCAAGGAAACTTAACTAAGAGAAAGTCTGTGCCATTCTGTGGAACCACTAGTGTATTTAGGTTATAGGGATTGATTGATTCATCATTGTTCTGGTAAAAAAGAAAATTTAACAGGAATGGCATTTACATTTTCCTTTTTTCTTTTCTTTTTTCTTTTCTTTTCTTTTTTTTTCTTCTTTTTCTTTTTTTCTTTTTTTTCTTTTTTTTTCTTTTTTTTCTTCTTTTTTTCTTCTTCACATCTTCACATCTTCAATTCTTCATCAACCTTCACTATTAATTATTCTTTCAATCATCACTCACAGGCTTTGATGTCCTTAGTAGTTAAAATGCTCCTAATAAGTACAGTAAATAAAATAAAATTTTGTCCATTACGTACTTCTATAAAAATGCAACTTTGACTATCTAAACAATATAATTCCATTTGTTTTCTTTGGTTAGTTCCATAATTTTGTCATTGAGAACTATGAAAAGTTGTTAGATTGCATTTAGTACACAGAAGCAAAACAGAGAATCAACTAAGCATTTGATCAATGGAAATTGAATTGAGATGTGGGGAAAAAATCTAGAAAACTTTTGTAATAGTTGTTTCACTTTTTCACAGAACTCTGGCGTCTTGATTGTAGATTCTTATATAAACCATAGATTATGCCAGCTTATATTGTCACAAAAATAAAAAAATTTTAAAATTTTTGTGTAGGCAAATTGTGAAAGTTGAATTTCCTTTTTTGTGTATTTTCAGGTATTAAGATTCTGGCCCCATTATGCTCTTCTAATTGATAGGCGTGATCGCAAAGGTTCTCATCAGACTTATGTAGTTCAAGAGCAACTTGAATTAATGAAGAACACAGAGGTTAGAAAACTATGACTTTTTCTTTTTAAACTGCAAAATAGTGTAATATTAAGATTGCTAATAGATTGTTAAATGTTCAATGAAATTCATGTAAAGAAGTAGCAAAAGCCAAATAACCGAATAACAATGTTTTTTTAGTTGAGATGTTTCTCAATTGGGCTACATTTTGGCCTCCCATCACAGAGATGGTTGGTGTGATCAGCTTTATAAACCAGGATATTGTTATGTCTTGACATCAGTTATCATCATTAATAGGGGGCAGTTACTTGTCTCTCCGGGAGACTGTTGGAGAAATGGGTTTTAGCCACGTTGGGTCAATGTTTTGGCCGCAGAAGTCTTTGCTGTCAGTGGAAATGGGTTCCATCCTTTAAGAAATTAATAATTTATTTCTTCATATAAACATTAGAATATCTTACATTTTCCCCCTCCTCACTATCTACTCACTTTTTGGAAAACGAAATTCACTATTTGACTATTTTTATCTTCATCAGATGCTAAATAGCCTGGTTGTGGAAATACATGATGCAACCATGCTTCTGTAGATTAACAGCATTTCCATTAATTATTAGAAGTTTTGGTCTTTCATATTGTTTTTTTTCTTCTGTTTTTTAAGAAAGTCAAATTAATTTTTAACATCATTCATAATAAGATCTTTTTGAAATTTTTTGATTGGTTGGTGAATGGTCTCGTGCTTATCACATTGGACTGCCAATCTTATACCTCTCCCGCCCTCCCCCTGCCTTCAGCGAGAGCCTTCGTTCACTATGGATGTTTATGACATCAACAAAACATCCCTATACCTTTTTCAAATCCACTGTCTCTCTTGATATGAGTAAGTGTACACTGTGGCTGAATGAATGAAAGACGTTCGTCATTTATTGATAAGATTCTTGTATTGTAATACTGGATGCAGCTAAGGAGAATAGTACATTATTATTACATCATTTAGAGGGTGACTCGTGGTGTTGTGGTCAAACTGCTTGCCTGCCACTGCTGGTGCCCAGGTTCAATCCCAGGCGGTTCCAAGTGGAATTTGTGATGGACAAAGCAGGTTTGCGGCAGGTTTTCTCAGCGTAATCCCATTTCTCCTGCCAATATGCATTCCACCAAATTGCTTCATTTATCATTCCCTACCCAATCCTGTCATTAACTACCATTCCGCTAAGGATCTACAGATCTAAGCAGCACCTAGGTGATAACCAAGACCTAGCTGGGAAGGGCTGCTGCTTGCTGAGTGGGCTATCGACAGGTAGGGTCCTAGCCTGGAGAACAAGGTGATGAGGGAGTGGGGGGAGGTCTCCTTCAAGACTAGATACAGATAGCAGAGAGTGGATGTAATGCAAAGCAGGGCAAGAGGTACAGCTTGAAGCTGGCCCCCGAGGGAAAAAAAAACAGTTTAGTTTTATTACATAATTTAGATTTTATGTATGTTACTATTCGTTTTTAAAACACCTATTTTCATATTCTAAAACTGGGGTTGTTATACTGATAGGTTTAAACACTTGTGTGATAAAACCATTTAGAAATAGGTCAGTCTTTAATTTGGATTGTTTTTCTAGGTTCGACATCCTGATATTGGGAAGAAATTTGCCTATTTTGATGGAGCGCAGTACATTCCACATGGAAAATTGAAGCGTCTATACCCAAAAGATTGAAACTAACCCTTTGTGTTGACTTATGGGTGGGATTTTGTTTGTGATATTTTAAGTAAATGAATCTTGCACATAGTGTGTTTTTCTGAGCTTTGTGATATGTTACTTCACTAATAGATGTTTATAAATTGAATCAATTTGGTATGAAGGAAATAAACACATGTTCTAGAAACATATTATGAAAGCTTTTAATATCTTCAACTTGTGAGGCTTTTTGTACGTTTTTGTAATGAAAATATACGTTATTTAGTGGTTGTAACTTCAACTGTAAAATACTGAACTTATTTCCTTCATACAGTGTGTGATGTTTCTAGTTTGTGGGTAAAAGGGAACATAATGTGAAGTTCTATGCCCATATCTGTACCTGTTTAACCGCCCATAAAGACCTGCAAGATGAAAATCAAAGCTAAAAATTTAAATATGTATGAATATGAAGTGAAATTGTTAAAATTGATTGCTTGTTGAATTCTTGTTTACTTTCATTATTTGTACATACTTTCCAGAAGAAATTGTTTTTAACCGTGTTAGGATATGTCATGGATAATGGTGTGGGTAAATGCTCAAAAGAATTCTGGTTTTATTCATGATAATTTCTCTAAGACACCAAAGAAGCAAAAGTATTATTCACTGTTATATCAGAAATATTTTATCTTTGTTTGAAATTTTGTGGATACTTTTGTACAGTCTTTTGAAGGGCTATAAAAAATAAATTAATGTTAATAAAAAATGATGTTTTTAAAAAATAATTTGCTTTTTCCTGAAATATGACTTTGTTCCACATGCAATTGTAGATTGCAATTTCAATCCAAGTTGTCACTGTAAGTTTCTTTTCATAATTTTCCAGCATTTCATCTGGATTATTAGTCTTTCCAGTTATGAATTTTAATTTTCTTATCAACTCGTTTTCCCTTCAATTTAAACATGATTAATGTGAGACTTCAAATGCTTTTTCTGTTGCAGAAGTACTTCTTTATTGTTGCTGTGATTAACGTGGCTTTTTATTCTCAGAGGAATTAAAGAAACTGAACAGAGTAAACAATTCTGGCATAGGTACTTTCATGGAAGTCAGTATGAGTGATTGGAAGTAAGGAAAGAAAGAAAGAAAGAAAGTGAAGACTTGTAGTGGGCAGAGTTTGTTACCACTTGCTTTCACTCCTTTTCCTCTTTTTCTGTAATTACTTAACATCATCACTTGACTCAATGTAGTAGATAATGCAAATATCAATTGTCATAGCTACTAGCCAATTTGGCAAAAAGAAGTAGGTGTATTTGAAATCGAAGAAAACAAATTTGTTTAAAACAAACTTCTGTTTATATCAGAGAGTTTAACTCCAATATATTCACTCAAGAGAATGATGTTACTTGTGCTTGGGACTTAGCCCTTCTTGTGAATAAAGTTGTCCTTAATTCCCTTGCTATGGGGGGAAAAAAATTAATATTAACAGAACTGTGCACATGTATTTTTTACAAAAATTGTTAAAACACTGGACCAATTACTCTGAAAGTTAGAACCCTGTGAGCAGCCATGACAGGTATTGAAGATCACAAAATGTTACCCTAAATTTGTGTACCCTGCAAAATTTTAGTTTCTGAAGATTCAACTTACCATGTACGTTTGTAGGTGATATTCTAATTCAAAGGGCTAAGTCATACGCTAAGGAGGTACAAAGTATCATTACTCTATGGCTAAGTTGTCAGACATTAATTGAGAAACATAATTTTTGGTGAAAATTCTGTGAATAGTTTAGGTGCTAGTATTGTTCAGACAGATGGATTGCCAAAAACCTCGTTTTTGGTGTTGAGGGCCCATAAAACATGAATTCTGACTACCTCACATATTCAAGAAAGTAATTTAATACATACAGAAGCAAGAAATATCCACTTTTTCAGAATCAAGGACCCACAAAAATCTAAGTTTTTTGTCTGTGTGTGTGTGCGCGCGCGCGCGCGTGTGTGTGTGTGTTACCGCTGACGGGTACGTGATTGGCAGGAGGACCACCGCGCCATCGGCGTGAGAGAGGGCCCGCGAAACGTATAAATACCGGGGACCCAACGTACTTAACAATGTTTGTCACGCTTCTCGTACAATATTTGTTTGCCGAGCTTCTTCAAAAGTTCTTTGCGAGCGTGCTTGCCACAGGCCATTCTCATGTGACTATCCCGCGTGAACATGGTCGGCCCACGAAGAAACTTCTATTACGGGTGCGATTCCTGTGTGAGACCGGCTGCCGACCGCGATCGGGGGACGAGTCGCCGCGATTAAGGCGATACCGCGCGCGACCTGCGGCGCGTCCCCAGGGGCACTGCTTTAGTCGCGCCGTTCCGCCGCCGGTGAACGCGGGCGAGGACAGCCTTGCTCACGTGACTTCAGGCTGAACCCAGACCAACAGAACGTGCGCCGCGCGGAGGATCAATCGATCCCTCGCCCATCGACAGAACCTCGTCGCCGACCAGCGCCACTTCGCCGTGGGAAGGAGCGTGGTGAGAGCCCCAAAAAAGACTGAACATTAACTGACTTGTGCGTGAGTAGAGGAGGTATTTAAATTGTAAGGGGGAATATTGTGTAAGCCAGGATTCACAGTAAAATGGGTTATATATATATATATATATATATATATATATATATATATATAATTTCTACTACCTGTTGTTTCAATGGTAGTGAGAGTAGGAAATCTCAAACAGGCATGCGTCCCCTCTCCCCTATCAATATTTCAGAGGTCAGAAGCAACATCTGCCGACTGTGAGCCGGGCAAACTCTACCACGGCGAGGTAGGGTACAATGCAGACGATGGCATGAAATGTATGTTTATTTTGCTTAAAGGAAAAGCTTTTGATATAACAAACATAAGCATTTAAAGTAAAAAACCATTATAACGAATATTGCATCACCTGCCAGGATTCGCTGCGCGGATTGCGTCATCTGCCGGCGCCCCCCCCTCGCCCGAACTGGACGGTACTGGGCTATTCGCGAGTCGCGTAGAAATGTGGAGCAAGTGTCGGTTATGTCGAGACGGGCGCCGGCTAGATATAAATTCGCCGCTGCCGGCTGCCGCGAGTCAGTAGTAGTAAGTAGAAGTAGTTAGCAGTCAATCTGTCAGTGTGAGTATGCAGTAGTCTGTCTGAAGTGGAAGCTGAGCTGTGAAGTGTGCACCGTGGTAAACAGCAGTTCAGTGGACCCTGGTTTGCGCAGTCAATTGTCTACGCAGTGGACCGTGGACTGTGCGATAGTGTAGAAGTGAACAGTGTAATTAAATATTCGGATTGCGGTGAGCAGTGTAAATAAATAATCAGAAGTGAACGGAGTAATTAAATAATCAAGAGAACGGAGTCGTGTGTAAGGAAAATAATCAAGTGAAGGACACAAGGACTGTAATATATTTACACTATTCTCTGCAATCTACACTATCGCATAGTCTTTGCCCTTGTCCACGGTCTACTGCGCTGACCACAATTCACTGCGCAGACCACACTTCCCTGCACAGACCACAATTCACAGCGCAGATCAGGGTCCGCTGAACTGCTGTTTACCGCGATGCACACTTCACAGCTCAGTTTCCACTTCAGACTTCAAACTGCTGACTGCTGTTCACCCACTGCACCGCTGTTCACCGCAATGCACACTTTATAGTACAGCTTCCACTTCAGACACACTGACGGACTGACTGCTTATCCACTGATTACATACACTAACTGATTCGCGTCTGCTTACTTTCGACTACTTTCACTGACATACTTACTATGACTAACTAACACTAACTTACACGGACTACATACTGACTCGCGGCCGCTGATAGCGGCGCATTTACACATGGCCGGCGCTCGTCTCGACACAACCAGCACTTGCTCCACCTTTCCCCGCGACTTGCGATTAGTCCGGAACCGGCAATTAGTCCATGGCATTTCAAGGTAGCTTTCCTGTAAGATGTAAACTGGTTGTAAATGATAAATTCATTGAACAAGTCCGCATTTTTAAGTTTCTAGGCTGTGGCATTTCATGCACAGGGGAAGTTGATCTACAAAGAAAAATAAAACGTTTTAATCATATATGCGGTATGATTAAAATAACCCTAAAAAACAAGGCAAGGAAAGGCACTCTCCTAAAATTTTATAAAACATTGGCTGTGTCAATTGAAAGTGGAAGTGAAACGTTGGTAACGCTCCAAAGGAAATCGGTCTGTTGGACGACCGAAAACAAGGTGGAAAGACCAATGAGTGAGCAACGGATCTACGATCCAATGCTTGAAGGAGAAGGATAAGAAGACATTCCTTTTGTGGCTCTCATACGCAACCAAATTTTATAAACGGGTCCTCTATACACTATACAAAGAGAATTTCGCGCAGACGGGACGAATTACTCTGACTTTAAAATATAAAATGTTTGTTAAAAAACGCATCTAAACATTCATGTGAAGTAATATACTTTCTATTCGACGCCTTTCTGGATTTACACAAGTTATTTCATTGATTTGATCGTCAGATGCGTCACCGAATCTCGCCATGCTATTACAATTGAAAATAACTGATAGCGATGTTAAAACAAAATGGTTATATTATACATTCACGGTTTAATGAACAAAGCGGTTAATAGATACTCCTAAAAATAAACGAGTCGGAGCTTATGATTGGCCAGTAGGTAGGAAAGGTAAGAAAAATCGGATAGAAAAAGCGATAAAGATTTTAGATATACCATATTAATCGGAGTATATTATATGTATAGTTAAACACTAGTGGTTTTATTTTCACTAGTGGAATAGTAACTAACATCTTTCATTACTAGAGAGCGGATTTTGCTAGCAGTTCTGGATACTGCCGCGATCATTCGACATCCAGCAGCATGACCGAGTAAGATGCGTAATACAGTGACATAATGCCACTGTGAAGTAGTGCCTCGATGGGGCAGAGTTAGAAAAAATCGCAGTATAGTTACTATTACTTGCGCAACTTTTCTTGAAGGATGACCTTGCTTCCCCTATATGGCACAAGAAACAGATGAAGGCAAAAGCTCGCAGCAAGCACTGATGACATTTCAAATTCATCTTCACTGACGCGAAATAAAAACAATTTTCTTTTGAAGACGAGAACTTCTATCCGTTATTTTCTCCAAAAAAACTAAAGAAATGGTCGAAGTAAGTACAGATCTATCGCAGGAGATACCTCGAACTCTTGAGAAAGTTAGAACGCAAATTATTGAGAACGTTGCAAAGGTATGACTGATTCTCCAGAGATTGGCATTGCCTTATAAAATCTAGTGGCCGATTTCGTAATTAATACCACCACTCTACCCGCAATTTTCTTCTCAACCCATCGTTCAAGAAAAGTTACGCGAGTAATACTAGGTCAGCGCCTACCACCAGAGCCTATTCTTACTCGCTGGGGAACTTGAATTGAAGCTTCCCTGTTCAACTCAACTGGTTGCAGGACGTGAAGAAAGTACTGGACATGCTGGACAAAGGACAAGCTGCTCTAAAAACGGCTGCTATAAAACCGGCTGTTATAAAAACGTGCAATCTAGGGAGTCTCCAGAACAAATTGGCGTTTATTAAAGTTCTTTTGGAAAAGTTACCTACGACGATCACCAGATTGGGAGAAAGGAAACTGCCACTTTCGTTAGCTGTTGAACTGAATGATTCATTTACAAAACAGGTTATATCAGGAGTCATTGGACAAACTGTACCAGCAAAATTTGAAATAGTAGAAGCAAATAATCCAGGGATTAAACTTATTCGTGATGTAAGTGTAGTACTAACTGGAATATCTGACAAGGAACTGCAGGGTTATTCTCCAGATGAACAGGCTTCATGTAAATTCTGCTCCTTTACTTCTTGTGAAGTTTCTAGTTACAAAAACATTCTAACAGACAAAAGACAATGTATGTCAATAGATAACATTGAGAAACGATATGTTGTTTATTGTCTCAACGAAGCGTGTAAGTAAATGTGCTGTGAGTGAATAAAAATCATTTAAATGGGTATTATATCGATTATGATTACAAACGAAATTTGTATATGGAAACAATCGATGGTTTTGAAAACAATAATCCTTTTAAGACGCTTTTTGTTTTAAACAATTCTTCATATATCCATTTCAATGACCGTTTCAATGTAATGATAGTTATTTGGAGTGTAGTTGCATTTAAAGTTCCCGCCATTTATTTATACGCTCATTTAAATATAGTGACACTTTATGATCACGAGTTGGACGGAGAGGATTAGATGACAATGTCCCGTCTCTCTTTCCAGCTCGTACAGAAAAGTGCCACTCTATTTCAATCTGAGTGTACCATTGTTTACCACTTGTGTGAAAGTTTATTGTCAACAATTTTGGGAATAAAATGGAATGTATTGAAGTTCTAGCGGAAAATATTATTAAAATAGAGCAGGTAATTTTCGGGACTTACTGTTATAACGTGTGTTTTTAAAATTCCAGTTAATGACAAATAAAATTACTATGTAACATCAAATTTAAATAGTAGCAGCAGTAGCTGAATGTTACAATGTAATGTTGTGTATTAATTAGTGAGGTATTACAAGAGTAACTAGATAATCAATAAATCAGAAAGTGAACTGCAGTATGAGTTTGTATTGTTGTATAAGAATTGGAGTATTAAAAATAGTGCTTGGTGTACACAATACTCTAAATCATTTTGTTTTATTACTTCTTTGTAGGTGAAAGAAGAACCAGTTGATATTGAAGAACCACTCAATTCCATTGTGAGTTAATTTTTTATGTTGGTAATCACTTCATTATAATTTTTAATGTTTAAAATTGTCTATTTGTTAAATATTTATTTATTGTTTTTTATTTCCTGTGCATTTGAGGTAAACAAATCAAGAGTTTTAATAATTCTTTTATTTATACTTTTTGATTTTATGCAATATTTCAAGGCACTCTTGGCATCGTCTTCAGGCAACTATAATGTAAAGCAGTAAAGTTTTTGTGAATATAAAATTTTGAACTCTTTCAAAATATTTCTTTACATTTTTGAATTAAAATGCTGACTTCACATACGTATCACACACATAGTTGAGCAAGTGAATTTCAAACAATATGTATATCTACGAACGAATATCTAAATATAGTTGCTGAAGAAGACCATTTTGGTCGTAACTTTGCTTCAGAATTTTGTTATAATACAGAGAGATTACTACAAGAAGGGACCTCTTTGACAGCTACTGCTTGGCCGCTGCTGGCAACATTACTGCATTAATGTGCATTTACTCATTTTGTTTCTGCAATAGTTTACATGTATATCATTTGTAAATAACTTCATCATTATCTCTTGCAGTGTCATCGCCCTGCATGACGTTCATTTATTCCCTGCTTAAATGGCCCTTTCTTAGAGTAACTCATTTATAATGCAAAGGAGTTCAGAGAAGGTTGTGGGGTAAGAGGCTGAGTAAGATATTCAGTATGAAATGCCAATGAAAATGACGACATGCGTCAAATTGACAATTGATAATTTTTTTTTATTCCTTTGGTTTTTTAATTTTGAAAAAATATTATTAATGGCACTAGTTAAATTGTTACTTTCAACCATACTGTTCATCATGTTGTGTAATTTAATGTTAAGAGTTTCAGAGATGACTCAGGAGAATTTTCTTGGTTTTTCAATCCAGGATTTGTATTTAATCTAACTTGATTCTGTGTTTTGAAATAGTTTAATTTGATAGAGGCTCCTGTTTTATTTTTATATTGTTCTTGAATTTACATTTTTTTTGTTTGGTCTGCCATTGTAACATATCTCACAATTTTTACAATTAATTTTGAACACCACATTTTCTGTTTCAAACATTTATCAGTATCTTTTAAATTTGTAAGTACATTTTGTTTCTTAATTAATGTATTTCTTACTATTGTTTTATTCTGACAATTATTTATAAAATGGCTACAAATTGCGGGAGAGTACTGTATAATAATAGTTGTGAGTTGGTTTTAGAGGCTGCATTGTTTGCTTGGTCGTTTTTTGTGTTTATTTAATTCAATCTTTTCATAAAATAATTGTCAATATATGTTATATGATAACAAGTAGATATATGTTGATTTTTCATCTTTCTTAAATTCATATAATGATAAATTTGATCTGATAGTTTTACAGCTTTATTCACCAATCCATGGAGTTCATCAATCTTTTTTGGGATTGAGTATTATTAATGGTTGGTTTATATTCACACAAAAACATTTTTGTTTTACATTATAGTTGCCTGAAGATGAGGCTAAAAGTGCTTTGAAATATTGAACGTATGAAAAAAGTATAAATAGAAGATTTAATTAATATTTCTTGACTTGATGGATTGTCTCAAATATACTGAAAAACAAAATCGATTGATTGTAATAGATTAAAATGTAAACTGAAATCAATTTTAGTCTTGTTAATTAATTAGATTGTACACAAATGAATATAATATGTGTACTTTCTAATTTATCATAAAAAGCAAGGGCATATAAGAGTTGAGGACAAGAAAGAAAACTATAATTCAAATTATTTTGTGAATGTTCATTCTCGCCTGTAAGCCTCTCTTTATTAATCTAGAATCTAGAATCTTTAATAATCTAATTTACAATTACCTTGTCTATTGGTATATAAATCAGTTGTTTTTTTTTGTCAAAAATTACTGACTTAAGTGCAGGAATATATTTTCAGCAAATGCTAATGTCTATAACTACAACAATTGTTGTAGTAGTCATATTCATCAGGTGACAGTAGCTCATTACAACAAATTCACTTGCAAAACATATACATTATTTTACAATACTTTCTCAGATGACTTTAAACAATTAAATTAGTCATAAAAGTTTAAGTCCCCAGTAAAATATTTTTCTGCTGCATAACAGTTTCTATACAATTAAAGACTATACTGAGCATCAAAAAGGAATGTATTATTAATTTTAACAATGATATTAATGTTAAATTTACCATTTGGACTGTGTAATTGTAAACAATGTGTAACGAGTATTGTATTTTAGCTTCTGAATCAATGACCCCCATCTCGATCCAGGTCTTCATTCTTCTGGAATATATTGTACTAGTTTCGTTATGATATGTGATTTTAGTATATTCATTGGAATCCTCTTATTGTAAGCTTTTTCTGAACTCATATGATTTAAGCAAAGGTGCTTAATCTAGATATTCACCCAATATTAATACAGAAACTCATGTTCTTCATACTTCAGAAAATGAATCTACCACTTATGAATCTGTTTCTGATCCTAACTCAAAAATCGCATATATATATATATATATATATATATATATATATATATATATATTATATACCTAGATCAAATTTTAACATGGAAACTGCAGGGATCATAGATTTTAACATTAGGCTGACCTCGGTTGTGGTTATAATTCATATTATTTACAATTTTTTAGTTTGCATGAGATGCATGTTATTACACAATATTATTTTATTTAGTTCAAATGTAATAATAATAATAATAATAATAATAATAATAATAATAATAAATAATAATAATATAATAATAACAACACAAAAAAAGAAAAAAAAAACAAAAAAAAAAAACAACAAAAAACAAAAGAAAACAAAAAAAAACAACAAACAAAACAAAAAAAAAAAAAAAAAAAACAAAACAAAAAAAAAAAAAACAACCTCTTTTGAACCCTGAGTTGAGACACCAAGTGGGTGATTCAGCATGAGATTAGTAGTGTGTTCCAGTAGCCATACACCCATGTCAAGTCACCTGTGTATTTTAATTATATTACTTCCCAAGGTGAAAATATATTGGCATTCAGAGGTTGTGCATGAAGATAGAATATGTGATAAGTTGCACAGATACCAATTTATTTCTTGTAGAATTTTACTGTGATTTTCTGTGAATGGTTAAGTCAAACATGGAGTTGTGTGGCTTAATAATTTTGATTCTTTATTTACTATTGGTTGGTATGTCTTAAAATACATTGGTGGAATTCTTCAATAGTTTTTTATTGAATTTGATCCTTTCTGTTTTCTTCAGTTATGAATGCATCTAAATCTTTCAGATCAGGACAGAGGATTCCTAGATGTATATTAATCAATATATTTTCATTATTTATGTATGCTAGAAAGAAAATAATGAAATAATCAGACATCAGTCGACTTCACCTACATTTTTTTTTTTGCAATTCACCAAGTTTTCTGTTTAGTGTGTAAAGGGTTTACATACACAAAATATGAGTATAAAGTAATTCAAGAGCATTGAAAAATAAGTCTTACTGCCAACTACTCATCTGAAGAACTGTTCCACCTCTAAATCAAGAAGCCTTGTTTCTTGCTCTTGTGTTAAAAAAAAGTCACTTTCTCATGCACAAGTGCCTCATTCTATTATGCATATTTGTCTATCAATGAAGGAAGAAATGCTATTCATTGGGTTATGCTCCATTCAAAACTTTCAATCAAGACAATGGAGTTTGGTAATCAAAGCCCCAGTGATCCGTTTTCCTTTGGCAATTAAGTAATATGTTAGCAAAAATTCAATATCTTGTACATTCACAAACCTTATTAAAAAACTGAGATAGTAATGAAGCAATTCATTTTAGCCTACTTTTCAAAATGAAACCAGTGAAAATAATTGCTGAAGTATGCTAATTATATTTGGCACTTAAGATAGAAATACATAGTAGAAGTGTTGTTGCATTGCATTGCAAGTGTTTTTGCATAGTGCATTTGTTTTTTAAAGATGATAATCTCTGTCCCAATTGACACTACAATTTCAATTTAGAAGTTTCAAGACAATTCTCTTTTTGCAACAGGATTTTTAATCAACATTCTGTTTTCTTTGTAGGAAGATGATGACTGCAGTCATGAATGGTGTTCAGTAAAGGCAGAAGGTAATGTAGAAGTGAGTACGATTATTCCGTTTCAACATATTTAATACCAATGTATTGGAGCATTCATTTGATTATCCAAATGAATTGGCGGTACAGAAACAGTACATTCTTTCTCATTATTTCTTATGCATTATAACTTATTCTGATATTGCAAACCTGTATCCTCATATTTTGAAAGAAATTGTTACAAAATGATTTAGAGGTCTAATATTTAGAAGATGATTGCATTTGAGTTTTCAAATAAAAAAAAAAGAAAAGAATGTGTGTGGCATGTGTGGGAGAAGTATAATTTGTGCACATTTTCTTGAGATATAGAATTTAGGAATAGCAAAAAGCATATTTTTCACCAGAAAGATCGATCTTTTCTCAAGGTGAATATATTTTCCAGAAGCCTCGAAGATTTGAAAAAAAGTTCTCATGATATAAATTAAATGGCCATTATCTATTTAATGTGGATTGCTCAAAATGAACAGCCACTGACATCTGCCCCTGTTGTTGATTCCCAGATGGCATGAAACCATTTACTCTTCACAACTTTTTCCAGTGTAATTAATTTCCAGTAACTGATTTGAATGTTTATTCCCTTTTAGAGCTACATTTGGGGACTGGAGAGAGAGATATCTGTACGGGTATTTATGGGTGTTTGTTGAGGAGATCTCACTTTATTACAATTTTAACAAAACATTTATTACGTTTCATGCAAAAAGAAATGCTTGATGAAATTAAATAAACTGGTCCAATATCTGCTGGAGATACCTTAATTAAGATGATTAAGGAATAATTTTATAATTGTCACGCGAAGCAACCGTGGTGAAACATAAATATTAACGTTAAATGTGCATTTTGTGAGCATATGAAAAATCAATTAAGTTTTTTTCTCGTTTATTGTTGTCTCATGTTACTAAGTTAATGCAAATGGAGAAACTGCTTAAGTGGTCATTGTCTTCATTAGAGATCTCATTTAGAGCCTATATCTGTGGATTCATTAAATCATTGGATAAAGACCTATTTTAATGTTATGTAAGACTAGTCGGAAAGCTTGAAAACATTTTAAAATTTTAAAAATCAAACGTAATTAAAACAGATAAAATCTGATGATTAAATCTTATCAACACTCTGAAACTGAAGCATAAAAAAATGTTTTGAAAACAAACAAACAAATAGAAATTTCGTAAAATAATTTAAATCGGTGAGCAAACTATTATGAACCCCAATGTCATTACTGAGCAAATTTTAAAAATTTTTGTACTGCAAAAACGATTCTGTAATCTTAAAAATTCCAAAAATTAAGATACTGGGATGTTCCAAGGAAATATGAATATTTATTCATTCCGAAAATTCAAAAGTAGTTCAAATGAAAATCTTGGTGTTATTAAGCGTACTTTTCAGGTATGTCATTCCATCTACAGTTATCCTCTAAATTTCTAAGAACTGATTAGTAGACCTAGTATTGACAGCAGAGGATCCATTTTGAAAAAAATCCTATTTGCATGTTGAAAACTTTTATTCTCGGTAAGGCCGACATTTTCCGAAACCGATCTAAAGAATACTTCACACTGCGTTCACATCAGCATCGAGATAGACTTTCAGGATGAAAAAAATCTTTCTTAAGCATTTGAGGACTGAATATTAATTAGTAACGTGCTGCCTAAAAGAAGAAAAACCCGAGTTTTCTTTAAACCTCGTTTTTATACAACATTCTATACTCGCTGCTCGATTGCGAAAGAAAAGTGCGTAACATGATAAGTTTAAGTTATAAACAAAAAAAGTGTTGTAATACGAGAAACAACATTGAAAATTTATATTCTCATGCCTGGAAAACCGGGAAAGGCCTTGAATTCCAAAAGGCCAGTTCGCTGGCCACCCTGTAATAAATTCTATTTTCAATTATATTATGCTTTTAAACGTTATTTACGTAGAAATTAAACAGTTTCGTTCCTAAAATTATGAATCAAATCACTCCAATTAACTCTAAAAAACAAAGAGTTTTTCCTTTGTGTTATAAAATATAGATATAAATAAAACTATAAAGTCTTTTGATTTAAAAATCAACCAAGATTGCATTTTTGTTAAAAGAATTTATTAATGTAGATTTTAAAATACGTATCCTACAGTTATAAAAAAATATTTTTGATCATAATAAATCATAAACACTTTCGATATTTTGGTATGATTCACCTACAAAACTGCATTGTTGAATTAACAGTTCTGACCATTCAAATAACCATGAGGATCGTCACCTCTGTGTTTAAATAATGTAATAAATAACAATAATCAATTTAAAAATTAACACAATTGAAAACAATGTATATAATTGTAGAACAATTAACTTAAGCATTAATATAATCTCATTTCGATAATAGCACCCAAATTCCCCCCCTCCCCCAATAAAGGATCCGAAATCCCGCTTCTGTGTACGTATATGAGAAAGTAAAAATGACGTTTGCGCGTTTTTTCCTTTCCCGTATACATACATATGTACGAAGTGATATTTTAACTTTTGAAAAATAATGAAGCAAAATAGTATTTGTGTTGTCTTGCACAGTACATTAAGCAATATCCGTGCCAAAATTTTACAGAAAAAAGTTGGTGCTTTTGAGAAATTTTTGTTTTTGATATTTTTTAATATTGCACATATTTCACTCAATATATTAGTAAGTTCACTAGTAAGTTCATACAAAAAAATTGGCAGTTTTTGCATAAAATGTAGAACATTTTAAAACTCTTATATTATCAAAAAGTGATCAATTTTTTGATTAAATTTTCTCGTATGTATCAAAGGACGGTAAATATGTCTGTCACATCGTTGGTCACATTTTCTACGAACTTTGGATGTTTGAAGATTGCAAAAAGTTGACATCGCTAAAGAACAAGTTTAATGATTGAGCTTTTTTCTTGACACTAATTCTTTTCTAGAAAATCAGACCTTTAAATAAGGCCATGTACTATTTTTTAAAAAAATAGTAGTTTTCGTGAAATTTGTTTGAAGTTCATGCAATTTATTAAAAATCTCAAAAACTGTTCCGAATTTTTCTTTAAATTTTGCTCTAGGATAGAATAAAGAACGCTTAAAAAAGGTGTTCTTGTTTTTGTTGAATTTTCAAAATTGCAAAATTAGAAATTATGCGAGGAAGAATGTGCTGTTGTATCCCTAGTTTGTAGTGGGCAGAGTTTTTTTTAGTTTGTAGTGGGCCGAGTTTGTCCTGTCGTCGTTGATTTACCTATTATATGCATTCCTTACGGTTATTCTCTGACATCGCCCTAGTTTTTCATCTCTGCTATGTGAAGTTGCGTAATTTGTTTTGTCAGTGAGTCCTTAATGTTTTATCTCATAGTCTGGTGGGAATCCGTAAAATACTAGTCTGTCCCTCAGTAGCCGGAATAAAAGGATATGCAAATTGGGTAAAGCGGGTTCCTTTCAGCCGAGGGTTTATTCGTATCTGGTGTAGACATTCTATGATCCGGTGATGTGATGCTAGGGCGTCGGGTTGTGTGATTGTAAGCCGTGCATGGTACATTGTGCCACCAGTTGTTTCGTCAGCTTCATGAGATCATTTGTCAGTTCGTTCACATTAAAAAGGGAGACTAGATCACTTTTGAGGAGTCCTATTTTTGGTTTAATTTCTGGGTTTGAATGTTTTTTTGGGATTAGGTTAGGGGTTTTGGGGGATACCAGAGCAGTGTAGGAACACGGTCTTTGGTGGCTAGCAAGAGGGAGGCATTGATGTTGGGATATTACGAGATTTTTTTGCAGGGGTTAGAACCATTGTCGTATGGTTAGGATGTGCCCCTCCCCCAGGGGAGTGAAAGCGAGAGCTAGTGCGGCGTCCTTGGAGAGCAACAAGGTCGTTAGGGGGATAGTCGAGATGGCGTCCTGGTGCTTCTTATCATCGTCACGATGAAGCTCCTCACCAAGTTTCTATCCCCGGCAGCCGTTGGAGGCCGAGTCTCTGTGGGAGGTGCCACTAGTGTAGTCTATACCGTCCGTTGTGTCCTTGTATTGTCGCAGAGACGAGGTGACGCTGATGTCACCTTCATCGGTGATAGGGCTATACCTTTGTGAATGAAGTGTGTTTCTGTGAGTCTGCGAAGCAAAAGAGAGCGACGAACACAGACGCTCGAAGCCGTCGTTCTGTCTTATTCTATGTTAAACAGGGCCTACTGCACAGGGGGGATAGCTGAAAGTTGTTTTTCTTTTAAAATATTTTTTATGGTTTGGTTTCTCATAATTTTGACTTTGCAGGAGGAGTTGGAGCCTCCACTCGCTGTGAATGTTGCGCCTTTTGCGGAGCCCGACGGAGCTTCTAGTAAGGAAGAGAAGGTTAGAATGACATGTTACTAAGATATACTATTCTACGAGTATTGTGACAAGGTATGCCCGGCCCGTGCGGCTGTGCGGTCGCTGGAGTGGCGTGTGTCAATCTTGGTGTGGAGGGCTGGGGGGTGTAAAATACCACCCAAAATTGAAATATTGGTTTCAAATTCAGACATCAGCCAGATAGATTAGGAAATATCAAGTTGGAGAAAATCGGCTCGTTTCATAAAACATGGATTCTTACACCACGTGATTCAGGATTTTTTCTAAATGTAGCGAATAGATTTATCCACTTTTTCGTGACCAGGGTCCTGTAATAAGTTTTCTCCTGAAAATTCATCATTATTTCGCATAGCATTAAACTTTCTACTCCGTAGGGAGAAAGTAAAAAGTGTTTTTATATATTTCTGCAGTGTAATGTAATTTATACGTGTCCTTTGCTGCAGGATCCACTTGCACTGTGCTGTGAAAGCTCTTCTACTTTAAGAAATCAGGAAGATATATTATATTCATCAGGTGAGTGGATTTAATGTATTTTATTTCATAGTACCAGTGGTATAAAATCATTATAAAATTACAACTAACGTATAGATTTCTTTTGTTAACTTATTTATTTCACCATAAACAGTAAAAAAGTTTTAATAATAGGGCCAAATACGTTAATTTCTTTGAAGTAATTAATCAATGTACGCCATAAACGTCCGATTTACTAATTTTTGTACTGAAGTTTTTAGTGTTTTTTTTTTTTTTTTTATAAAACATGCATATTATAAAACATGCATTTTTATAAAACAATATTGCAAGTATCAATATGAGAAAACTTAAGTTAATAATAAATGAAATTACGGTATTATTCTTCCCCACTCCATGTCCGTTACGTTAGCTGATAGTCCTTCGAATTTTTTGGTAATAATTGAAGCGTTGTGCAAATAATTGCTTCCAAAATTTCATGTCACGTACAAATTTTATTCTCGAACTCGCCACTTAGTAGATTAAATTTCTAATAAAAGTGAAGTGGAAAATGTAATGAAAAATAAAAGCAATGTGAACATAAAACTGTCAAATCATTTTCTTGTTTACCGCTGTTCCAAAGAAGTGCGAATTGCAATGAGAATGCAATTCTGCCCGTGCATTCCAAACATTCTAGGAATGTGATTGGTCATCGATTTCAAATTGTATTCCACGGATGTGTAATCCATATACAGCGAGATTACTCATATTGGTGTTAGAGAAATTATTAAGCATATTTCATTAGAAATTAGGCGTTTTGAAGCCCCAAAATATGAGATTTATTTTTTATCAGGCATTACTTTCTTCCCTACTTTGCTACGGGGAAAGTTAATGTACATTGCCGTGGAGATGAGTTACATTTAATATACCAAAATACATCGTTTACGTCATTATTATTGATGATTTGTGGTGGTCCGTGGTAATGGACATTCCCATTTTCATTCTCACTTGAACTTGTAGTAACAATGCTATCGCCGTATTGGTCATGTCCAACACTTTGTGGAACACGATTGGCCCTCATTATCCAGATTCCCAGTCATGCGATTTCATTTCTTCCTTTGGCAAATTTTCTCAATGAGAAATTTCGTCGATAGATGAGTTTACGAAAAACATTCATTTTATAAGCGTTACGATGAAACAACCACTTCAACACAATTTGTAGTTCATTAGCATTCTTCCCTCACACTTTACCAGTAAAGGATGTTCCACTTGTCACGTTGACACAATGAGCAAAGCATATTCATTTTTAATGAGTATTTCATCATTGAAAATTGGTACAGTATCCCCTGTCAAAACCTGTCAGGATGCTGTTGATATATAAAGCGTGCTTTGTTCCTAGTGTCATTTACCTGAATCACGTGTTTTATGTTTCCAGATGTTGAACTGAATTCTTTTGACTGTACCATCTGCAAGAAGACATTCACTCAAAAGCGAATTATTCTTACGCACCTTCATATTCAAGCTAATGAACATTTCCAATGCAGTGACTGTAAAATCCGATTCTACGGAAAGACCGTCTTACAAGGAGATACGTATATCCACAATGGGGAGAAACCTTTTCAATGCACCGTCTGTAGGAAGAGCTTTACTCTGAAGGGAAACTTACACAGGCACATGCGCATCCACGATGGCGAGAAACCTTATCAATGTTCCATCTGTGAAAAGAGATTTTCTGCAAAGAGAACCTTATTACAACACATGGTCGTCCACAGTGGTGAACAGCGTTTCCATTGCACTGTCTGTGAGAAGAAATTCTACGTAAAAGAACATTTACAACAGCATATGCGCATCCATACTGGGGACAAACCTTTTCAGTGCACAGTGTGTGAGAAAAGCTTCAATCAAAAGGGAAATTTACTTAGGCACATAGACATCCACGTTGGCCAGAAACGTTTTCAGTGTTCCATCTGTGAGAAAAGATACTCTGCAAAAGGATATTTGCGTGAGCACATGCGTATTCACACTGGTGAGAAACGTTATGAATGCCCAACCTGCAAAAAGTGTTTCACTCAAATTGGGCATGTGAATGAACACATGCGAATCCACACTGGTGATAAACCTTATGAATGTTCCGTGTGTGAGAAGAGATTCTCAACAAAGAGAAACTTATCACAACACACGGTTGTTCACAGTGGTGAGAAACGTTTTCAGTGTACAACCTGCAAAAAGTGTTTCGCTCGAAAGCAGGATGTGAAAGAACATATGCGCATCCACACTGGGGAGAAACCTTATGAGTGTTCCATGTGTGAGAAGAGATTCTATGTTAAAAACTTATTATTACGACACATGAGCATCCATAGTAGTGAGAAACGTTTTGAATGCGCAACCTGCAAGAAGTCCTTTTCTCAAAAAGGACATATGAATGAACATATGCGCATCCACACTGGTGATAAACCTTATCAGTGTTCCATTTGCGAGAAGCGATTCTCCACAAAAAGTAACTTAGTACAACACACCGGCATCCACGCTATACAGGAACAATTTGAAGGCACAACCTCCAAGAAGTGCTTTTCTCAAAAACAGTATATGAATGAACTCATACGTATCCACTCTGGTGATAAACCATATGGATGTTCCATTTGCGAGAAGAGATTTTCCAACAAGAGAAACGTACTACGGCACATGGGCATCCACTTTTGTGAAAAACCTTATGAATCCAATATCTGCTAGCAAAGCTTTAATTGTAAGGGTTCCCAGACGTTTCTGGAGAACAAGTGATGTTTATTTTATTTATTTTAGTCAAAGAACAGTAAAAACTGTCGTATGAGGGAGAAGTACCATCTGTGAACGTTTTCTTGACCTCCAGAATTCCTTCCCAAAGTTTAACTAAAATAGTTGAAAGTTGGGGGAAAATATAACAAATAAAAGAAACTAAATAATTTAAAAGAACCGCGAGATTAGCAACATTTGAAAAACTCGACGTCTTCAAATGCCTTCAGGATGTCATCAAATCAAGTACTCATCGTCAAAAGTCATGACGGTACATTGACAATGTATTCAGAAGTTCTGTCATAATACGTGATGGGCCGATGACGTGAGTAGGGCGTGTTGCCGAAGAGAAATACTTCTCTTGCCACTGAATCCGGATGTCAACAATGTAGATCGGCGTAAGTCCACGCGGTAAGCCAGTTTGGTGCAGATTCTGGCGTAGAGTATTAACGGCACTGCAGTGAATTTTTTCTGTGATTGTGATTGTCAGATTGCTCAAATTCTACCTGTTTTTTGTATACAATACATTTTATGGAGTTGTTTTAAGTAAATACAGAAGTAAATGTCAACTATTACAATAAATAAAATATTTATGCAAGAGACGGTGTTACTGAAAAGATAAATTAAAAATGCCAGCTTTCTTTTCCTTAGGAAACCTACTTCTGTTTTTTAAGAAAATATATAATTTGACAATGAGGTTAATGAATTTGACAGGTACATATAATATTTAAATTCTTCCAAAATAATGTTTAGAAACTTCAATTCATCAGCACTTGAAGATCTTATTGCTTGAGCTTCATATTTACTTTGTTGCCATTCAATGTGAATATTGATTAATGTTTCCTGATATAATCCCTGTATTATTATGCATAGTAAGCAGTTTTACAAAATTATTTCAGGCTACTACTTTAATTGGTTTAATACTGACCTAAGACTAAAGTACTGTGGGCAAATTTAAGCAAATGACATGCATTGGGAGAAAGTAAATGGAATTATTTGATATAGAATTTTTTCATGTTGTATTTATTATTTTAAGTTGTCAGATGTAGTGCAACTTACTTGGTTGGATGTAGCAAAATTGTTTGTAATACAATACAAGAATAGTAATATCCCATATTATTTGCTTTAATGACATTGCGCTAGTTCAGAGAATTTTTAATTACGTTCGCATCACCGAACGTATTTCAGGGCTTAAGAAATATCCTATGATTACTTTCTTGCCATGTGCTAAAAAACAAGCGCTTCTGTTCCTGATATTTCTGCACTTCCGAACTAGAAATTGTCAGAGTTTTTCCTAATGAGCTTTTCCACGCCAAATCGCGCACTCACAAAACATCACAATATTTTTACCGACTTGAAACTTTTTATGTCAAGGGTTAAAACACGCATTGTTTTGTCTAATCCCTCTCTTTTCAGAAACATTACCAATTATTTTGTCCGAAGAATCCTGTGAGCGCAAATATTTAAACATTCAAACATACCGTTTCCTTCAGAAAAATGGAATTATACCCAAAAATAACGAAAGAAAATGTACTTCCAGGGTGATGTATGTATCATTTTTGTAAACATATTTAAATATTGATTTTTTTTTAAAATTTTGAAAATGCACATATTCTTATAAGGCCTACCATTTTAATTAAAAAACTAATGTTTTTGTACACTAGTGTTGTATACATGTGCAAAATTTTTAAAGTGGGACACAAATAAATGATTAAAGTTTTTTTTACCGGAGCACGTAGGTATTCCTCTGCCCTTAGAGCAGCAAAAGTCACTTTGAAAGTATTTCATGACAATTTTGCAAGTAGTGT